CGGTATGACGGCTGCGTAGTCCCATGGTGTTTATACTTGCGTACTATTGTTTGTACAGAGGAACGTGGTACCTTCAGGCGTTTGGAAATTGCTCCCAAGGATGAACCAGACTTTTGGAGGTCTACAAAAATGTTGCTTATTTCTTTTGATTTCCCCATGACGTCAAGCAAAGAGGCACGGAGTTTGAAGGTAGGCCTTGAAATACATCCACAGGTACACCTCCAATTGACTCAAATGATGTTAATTAGCCTATCAGAAGCTTCTAAAGCCATGACATCATTTTCTGGAATTTTCCAAGCTGTTTAAAGGCACAGTCAACTTACGTATGTAAACTTCTGACCCACTGGAATTGTGATACAGTGAATTATAAGTGAAATAATCTGTCTGTAAACAATTGTTGGAAAAATTACCTGTGTCATGCACAAAGTAGATGTCCCAACTGACTTGCCAAAATTATAGTTTGTTAACAAGAAATGAGTGGAGTGGTTGAAAAACAAGTTTTTATGACTCCAACCTAAGTGTATGTAAACTTCCGACTTCAACTTGTGACGAGGTGTGAAAGGAGGAGTCAGGCGCAGGAGGTAAAATACCGAAGTCCAGAGTTTATTCCGTTTACATAAATTAAACGGCCCAAGCGTCAAACGAAACTATTACAAGAGAAAACATCCACCTTGGCATAAACACAGTGAAATGTAGCTCAACCGAGCTACACGCTCTCACAACAAACAATCACTCACAAAGACAAGGGGAACAGAGGGAACACTGATACACATACTAATTAGGGGAATGAGCACCAGGTGTGTGTGATTGAAAAGACATGACAAGTGGAGTGATGAGAATGGGATCGGCAGTAGCTAGTACTCCGGTGACGATGAACGCCAAAGCCTGCCCGAACCAGGAGGGGGGGCAGCCTCGGCGGAAGTCGTGACACAACTGTATATTACCATAAGTATTTACAGTATATATTCCTGCTACCAGTCACTTTCAGTCCTGTTTACATGTATATGTTACTACCAGTCTCTTTTTATGTATAAACCCACCTCAAACCACTCCAGTACCCCTGCACATTGAATAAGGTACTGGCACTGACCTGTATATACAATACTTACATTCTCGTGTTTCTTTAACTCTCAACGTAGTTCTTCTGTGGTTTTTTATTCAGACTTGTATTTTTTATTCTATTTTCTATATTATTATTATTATCACTGCCATGTTGGAAAGAGCTCTCAAGATAAGAATTTCACTGTAATGTTTTACACCTGTTGTATCCTGTGCACGTGGCAAATAAACTTTGCAACTTGAAACTGCAAGTTTTACAGTATAAAATATCACTACAGACCCCCTGTTTCGATTCCAGGCTGTATCACAACCGGCCGTGATTGGGAGTCCCATAGGGCGACGCACAATTGGCCCAGTGTCGTCCGGGTTTGGCCGGTGTAGGCCGTCATTGTAAATAAGAATTTGTTCTTAACTGACTTGCCTAGTTAAATATAGGTAAAATAAAATAAAAATAAATGTTATGGCTAAATACTGATTAAAGGCCCACTCCTCAATTCCTAAATATAAAAGAGTGGCCCTTTAAGTTGGTTGGTACAAAAGGTACAGAAACTGGCCAAAGTTACACAGACAAAGTAAGGAAACATAGCCTTGATCAGCTGGTCAGACGACTGAGCAAAGTCAATGGTGTGCAATACAAACAGAATGCTATCTTCAAAGTGTGACCATAGAGTTTACCCAGGGGTCAATGAAGTAAGAGGGTACTGTAACCAATGTTTAAATATTGACAGACCATTTCAAAAGTATTTGTCTATCCCCTCCACCTAACACACACATGCGGACCAAGCGTGCACGTGCACGGACACATGCATGGACAGACTCACGCAGACACACATATACAGTATCCACACACACAGGGTTGGGCAGTAACGTATTACATGTAACAGGTATTCATAATAATAATCCGATTACAAAAATTAAGTAACTGTAATCATCCCAGATTCCTTTTGAAAAATGTGTAATCAGATTACAGTTACATTAAAACAGTGCATTCGGAAAGTATTCAGACCCCTTGACTTTTTACACATTTTGTTACGTTACAGCCTTATTCTAAAACGGATTAAATTGTTTTTTTTCTCTCATCAATCTAAATACAATACCCCATAATGACAAAGCAAAAACAGGTTTTTAGAAATGTTTGCAAATGTATTAAAAATAAAAAACGGAAATACACATTTACATAAGTATTCAGACCCTTTACTCAGTACTTTGTTGACGCACCTTTGGCAGCGATTACAGCCTCGAGTCTTCTTGGGTATGACGCTACAAGCTTGGCACACCTGTATTTGTGGAGTTTCTCCCATTCTTCTCTGCAGATCCACTCAAGCTCTGTCAGGTTGGATGGGGAGCTTTGCTGCACAGCTATTTTCAAGTCTCTCCAGAGATGTTAGATCGAGTTCAAGTCCGGGCTCTGGCTGGGCCACTCAAGGACATTCAGAGACTTGTCCCGAAGCCACTCCTGCATTGTCTTGGCTGTGTGCTTAGAGTTGTTGTCCTGTTGGAAGGTGAACCTTCACCCCAGTCTGAGGTCCTGAGCGCTTTGGAGCAGGTTTTCATCAAGGATCTCTCTGTACTTTGCCTCGTTCATCTTTCCCTCGATCCTGACTAGTCTCGCAGTCCCTGCCACTGAAAAACATCCCCACAGTATGATGCTGCCACCACCATGCTTCACCGTAGGGATGGTGCCAGGTTTCCTCCAGACGTGACGTTTGGCATTCAGGCCAAAGAGTTCAACCTTGTTTTCATCTTTTTATTTTTGTACATTTATTTAACTAGGCAAGTCAGTTAAGAACAAATTCTTATTTACAATGATGGCCTACACCGGCCAAACCCGGACGACGCTGGGCCAATTGTGCGCCACCCTATGGGACTCCCAATCACGGCCGGTTGTGATACAGCCTGGAATCGAACCAGGGGGTCTGTAGTGACGCCTCAAGCACTGAGATGCACTGAGATGCAGTGCCGTAGACCGCTGCGCCACTCGGCCACTCGAGATTCCTTTAGGTGCCTTTTGGCAAACTCCAAGCGGGCTGTCATGTGCCTTTTACTGAGGAGTGGCTTCCTTCTGGCCACTTTAGCATAAAGGCCTGATTGGTGGAGAGCTGCAGAGATGGTTGTCCTTTGGGAAGGTTCTCCCATCTCCACAGAGGAACTCTGGAGCTCTGTCAGAGTGACCATCGGGTTCTTGATCACCTCCCTGACCAAGGCCCTTCTCCCCTGATTGCTCAGTTTGGCTGGGCGGCCAGCTCTCTGAAGATTCTTGGTGGTTCCAAACTTCTTCCCCAGATCTGTGCTTTCAACACAATCCTGTCTCGGAGCTCTACGGACAATTCCTTCGACCTCATGGCTTGGTTTTTTTCTCTGACATGCACTGTCAACTGTGGGACCTTATATAGACAGGTGTGTGCCTTTCCAAATCATGTCCAATCAATTGAATTTACCACAGGTGGACTCCAATCAAGTTGTAGAAACATCTCAAGGATGATCAATGGAAACAGGATGCACCTGAGCTCAATTTTGAGTCTCATAGCAAAGGGTCTGAATACTTACAAGGTATTTCTGTTTTTGCTTTGTTATTATGAGGTATTGTGTGTAGATTGATGAGGAAATGTGTATTTTAATCCATTTTAGAATAAGGCTGTAACGTAACAAAATGTGGAAAAAGTCAAGGGGTCTGAATACTTTCCGAATGCACTGTACAGTTAGTTACCTTCAACAACTGATTACATATTTGATTACTCAATCTAATCAGGATGTGTGCTACAAGTGTTTGCCTTAAACATAATAAAATATACGATTTTTAAACATTGTTTAAAGCTGGAAGTCACCTTTCAGTGGGAATTTTGTTCTAATCTATTTTTAATCTGCTGCCAAATTTGCGCTCCTTGGTTGCTTTCAACAGAACCTTTTTGTAACCAAAACACCTTTCAGTGGGAATTTTGTTCTAATCTATTTTTAATCTGTTGCCAAATTTGTGCTCCTTGGTTGCTTTCGACAGAACCTTTTTGTAACCAAAACGTAGGACCCACATTTACTGAGACCTGAATCATCCCCCACCTCATCAGGATCTTTGTGTCGAAAGGACATTTTTCATAATACAGTACCACCCTGTTCACTTCCAAAGCACTGGGATGACATACAGTATAATTTGATTTCTCTTTAGAGAGGGTACTGATCAGTGTACAGCATAAACTGAGGAGGCAGAGATGCTGGCTAACCAAGGAAGTAATCCAAAAGTAATCCTTAAATTACACATTTTGAGTAATCCAATGAATTATGTTACTAATTACGTGTATTGTCATGTAATCTGTAATCAGTAACTGACTGACGTCCAACCCTGCACACACACACATATACAGAGAGATGAGCAAAGACACATAAAATGTATCTTATTTGCACCGAATTTCAACTCTGAATCCTATATTCTATGGGTGTCTCTCATTTCAAGATTTCAAGTGAGTATAATTCACAATTTTTTGCATACACTGTGACGTCAGAAACCTAAGCAGGACGGTTTTTTTTTTACCGTTTTCATTCTAATCCAATAGCAGTACTCTTACGCCATCTGATGGATGTGTGCAAAATTGCTCTATAGCAGTTAGTCATTCAGTACACTAGATGTCGCTGTACTCTCATTCCACCTCGCTTGGTATTTCCCTTCCAAATAAATGTTGGTTTTCTGCCTGTCACTGTTCTTATTATACCTCAGTGGTCACGGCTGTGTTTACACATTTGACTGGTGCTAGCAACCATTGAGCGTTGGAAGCTTGTAGGCTCTGTGTTTAATTTCTTGAATTGGAAATAAACAGACAATTTCTGCATGGCTATGTTGTGAGCAAACACGTAGCATAGGTCCCAAAGAAGAGGCGTCAGTATCTCTATTCAAGAGAACATATTTTGACAGCAGGCGAGGGGCAATATTGGCTTGAGTTCGGTACACCGGCATGGCAGCGGCAACAGTGGTCGAAAATGATCCGACGGCGAGCGAAGGCGGTGCCGCATCATTCTCGGAGCCGGAGGTCCACAGCCCTATCTGGAACGAATCTCAACTTCGAAAGTATCCTTTCCAGACCAGACCGATACCCAGACTCTCTCACACGGATCCTAGAGCTGAGATGCTCATAAACAACGAGGTAAAGTGACACTTGTAATGTTCTTGTTCGAGTCTGACAGCTAGCTCAAATTAAGTAAAATGGTATTTGTCACATGCGCCTAATACAACGGGTGTATACTTTACCGCGGAATGCTTGCTTACGAGCCCTTCCCAACGATGCAGTTAAAAAATAATAAGGAAAATAAAAAATTGTAACACGAGGAATAAAATACACAAGAATGGAACTATATACCGTACAGGGAGTACAGTATCAGATCAATGTGCAGGCCAGGGGTACGAGGTATTTGGTGAGAAACAAAATTAACTAGCTAACGATAGCTATATAGCTAGCTGCTACATTGTCAACTAACGTTAATCAACAAGTATTTTGTCTAGCACATCCCTCCAGCTTGTATCCTGTATGTTGTTGGTAAGATAGCCAATGTCCTCTCAACTGAATCAGCTGCCGGGCAAGCTAGCTAGCTAGCCAGCTAACACGATTTTGACAGTGGTTCTATTTTTTGTATCCAGGTTTGTGCTGCATGGATCAAATATCATGCAAGAGAGACCCCACTTGGTCTGGGTGATAGTGGACAAGTCCAGTGTTCTTCCAACCTGGCCCTGGGGTCCTTCATAGGGTGTGCAGTTCCTGTTCCAATGTATTATGGCAGGGCTTGATGATCAGTTGATTAGGTGAAACGGGTGTTTTTGACGCTGGACTGGAACACAAGCTTGGCTGTAGCCTAGGTTTTGGGCCCCAAGACCAAAGAACACAGGACTTGACATGCAAGTCTGCATGGGCATGGCACTGCAGTGCAGATAATCAGTTTGGTGGTAACACATATCTGGCCTACCATAGACTATCTTATTTTCATAGGTAGCCTATGAAGCAGACTTTTTTTCCCCTCCTGTCTGATACTGTTTGTCAACCAGGTAATCTGGACCCCTTGTTAGCAAGCTCCTCTCAGTATACACGTGCCACCTCCCTTGCTTTATGTTCAATAATAAAACATCATGCCTCCACTTGAATGCTTCTCTCCAAAAGTCAGTCTGCATTTACTACATCTGATATGTCGTTGATTCCCATGAAATTATATCGGCTAGTTGATTTCTAACTTGACCTACATCACAGATATGCAACAGTCACACCCTGTTATAACACTGAAATGCACGTACCACTAAGTAAATAAATATTTCTGATATGAGTGTCTTTTGCATCCATTGATCTGCCTTTCTTTGGAATATGATTATGTGATGCCAGATATTAGGCTACAGCCTGGAAGATCAATGCTGGCTGTTAATATATGGCAGGGACATCTAGGCTATTACTGTGTAAATCGGTAACTGTTCACATAACGGCGAACTGTAGTGAATATCAGTTATATGTCCCATACACAAGGCTAGGTGCACAACAGTATTGTGCATGGGACATATAGGCCTATACCTGTGGCAGACATAACTGTGTTGTTTGCTGCGTGATCTATCTGCAAAGTAAACGTTTTCTGCATGCAAATTACAGGTTTTATTCCTGGGTCTTTATTCAGCTATTTTATTATTATCATGCTGACACGAGCAGTTGCCAGCATGATTCAAATATAGCTTTTTTTGTGGTTGAGGAAAGTAGGCATAGAATGATGGTGTTTCCACTATTATGACCTGTGGTGAACTCCCAGTGTACTCAGATGGGAGAGGGGAAGAGAGGAGGATGGGAGGAGAGGAGGGGTTGCGTTTTGACCAGACACAACAATGTTGACTAGGAGGTGAATGAGCTGTTTGATTCAGATTTACCGCGCGTTAAACAGTAGAGTACCGAATAGAGTAGACCAACAATTTGCTGTTGACATTAAATTAGTGTAATAGCGTCTGTTTCACATAAGTAAAAGTGAAACAACATAGTCTGTTGAAATGGAGCTTCCGTATCCTATTCATAATTAATTTAGTATCTTTTGCCTCTTGCTTCCGCCCTGCTTGCGGTCTTGCTGTAAAGGCTTCGCTAGTGAAATTCATTGCAGCGGCACAGCGCGCATGTTCGTGCTACACAGCCTACGTTCCAACAGTCACGTAGCACTTGCCACTTGTGTCCAATGGGACCATCAATCGCGCTGCCTGCCAGCGAACCGCAGTGTTGTTGATACACATAGCTTATGCAGGCGCTTCCTATTCCCCAGAAACAGGTGTGCCTTTCTTTGCTACGTGCATAAGGATCATATGTATAATGTATTAAAAGCTATTAAATATTGATGAATTCTCCATGCATTTAATTTGGTCTGACTATAGCCTAAAAATTCAATGCATCAAAGGAAAACTGATTAGATGTATAATGATATTTAATGCATATAACGTTAGGCCTATCACTATTAGGAAAACATGTTAACAAATAATGCAAAAAGTTGAATACGTTTTGTATAATTTAATCAAAATTGTTGCTTGCTTCAGTCCTATATTATAACAAATAAAAAGATCAGAGTATATGCAGTCTTTTTCTAACCTAACAAATCCTCATTTTTTGGTTTCTAGGAACCAGTGGTTTTAACAGACACCAATCTAGTGTATCCGGCTCTCCAGTGGGACATCCCGTACCTGCAGGAGAACATTGGAAGCGGGGACTTCTCTGTGTACATCGCAGAAAACCACAAATTCCTCTACTATGACGAGAAGAAAATGGCCAACTTTGAGAACTTTGTACCCAAGTCTCGACGGATAGACATGAAATTCTCGGATTTTGTGGAGAAAATGCATAAAACGCAGGAAGAGGGAGGAGATGAGAGGTAATGTTATTGTGTAAATGGATATATTAAACCATCATCTGAGGGAGGATGATCTGCTGTTTGATCTGTTGTCCTGCTGCAGTAGAGCTAGGTCCTTATGGACAGTTGATGAAAAAGATTAGAGACATTTTATCAGTACTGAATATGAGTGAAAGTAATATACAACTTCTCTTATTTGAGTCACAAAACGTGTGCGTGTGTGTAATATGGCCAGAATCAGATGAAATGCTATCCAGTCTAGGTGTTTGCGTTGCAGGTGTGCTGCTCATTAGTCGAAAGTCAAATGTTGAGTGAGTCAAATGAAATCTAATGCAGGAACTGAAGTAGCTAGCTGTCGAGAATGACTAAGCATTTATACGGCATCTTGGGAACACTTTGTACCATTGCCACCTGACTGAGTTACATGGCCTGGGAGACACACACACACATCACTTACTGCACTGAGCCCCTTCCTTAAAGCTAATGCTTGCTGCTTGTGTCCACGTACTGTAGATTTAATCAGTTAAATGACGTTTTCTGTCACATTATATAGTAGTGGTTTTGTGCAATGTTTGTTGCATGGCATTACTGTTTTCTGATTGAAATCATTCTTTGTGGTTTGGCAAGGAATACTTTCTTCTGAGCCGAGTTGAACATTTATATTGGCAAGACAAGCTTTAATTTCCGAATGCACGTAAACTTGCTGAGTACACTTGACTCCTGATAAGTGCAAACTCTGTATGTGCATTGCAGTTCAACTGTCCCTATTCAATTGCATTCCTCTTAATTGCTCTGTATATCTGTGTTATCCACTGGGCTTACAGCAGCATATTCACAACAGTTCCAATCTGTTTTCTTTTATCAGTTGTTGACTACAGTTACAGCATTACCTCTTCTTTGGACTGCATTAATGACAGAGTGCCATGAAGGACAGTCTTATCCTATCTTTGTGTCTCTATCCAGATTCTGCTCCACAACTAGCTCCAGGAGCACTGTACTTCAGCTCCCTCTGTGGCTGTGCTCCTTCCAAAATATGTGCAAAGCTGAAGATCCATTTCCATCTCAGCAGATGGACTAATTCTATTCTATTCTGTTCATCCTCCCAGGGTGTACCTGCAGCAAACCCTGAACGACACAGTGGGCAGGAAGATCGTGGTGGACTTTCTGGGTTTCAACTGGAACTGGATCACCAAGCAGCAGAGCAAGAGGAACTGGGGCCAGCTCACCTCCAACCTGCTTCTCATAGGCATGGAGGGTAAGAGACCTAGCCCTGGCCTATAGGAATGGAGGGTAAAGAGACCTAGCCCTGGCCTATAGGAATGGAGGGTAAGAGACCTAGCCCTGGCCTATAGGAATGGAGGGTAAGAGACCTAGCCCTGGCCTATAGGAATGGAGGGTAAGAGACCTAGCCCTGGCCTATAGGAATGGAGGGTAAGAGACCTAGCCCTGGCCTATAGGAATGGAGGGTAAAGACCTAGCCCTGGCCTATAGGAATGGAGGGTAAGAGACCTAGCCCTGGCCTATAGGAATGGAGGGTAAAGACCTAGCCCTGGCCTATAGGAATGGAGGGTAAGAGACCTAGCCCTGGCCTATAGGAATGGAGGGTAAGAGACCTAGCCCTGGCCTATAGGAATGGAGGGTAAGAGACCTAGCCCTGGCCTATAGGAATGGAGGGTAAGAGACCTAGCCCTGGCCTATAGGAATGGAGGGTAAAGACCTAGCCCTGGCCTATAGGAATGGAGGGTAAAGACCTAGCCCTGGCCTATAGGAATGGAGGGTAAAGACCTAGCCCTGGCCTATAGGAATGGAGGGTAAGAGACCTAGCCCTGGCCTATAGGAATGGAGGGTAAGAGACCTAGCCCTGGCCTATAGGAATGGAGGGTAAGAGACCTAGCCCTGGCCTATAGGAATGGAGGGTAAGAGACCTAGCCCTGGCCTATAGGAATGGAGGGTAAGAGACCTAGCCCTGGCCTATAGGAATGGAGGGTAAGAGACCTAGCCCTGGCCTATAGGAATGGAGGGTAAAGACCTAGCCCTGGCCTATAGGAATGGAGGGTAAAGACCTAGCCCTGGCCTATAGGAATGGAGGGTAAAGACCTAGCCCTGGCCTATAGGAATGGAGGGTAAGAGACCTAGCCCTGGCCTATAGGAATGGAGGGTAAAGACCTAGCCCTGGCCTATAGGAATGGAGGGTAAGAGACCTAGCCCTGGCCTATAGGAATGGAGGGTAAGAGACCTAGCCCTGGCCTATAGGAATGGAGGGTAAAGACCTAGCCCTGGCCTATAGGAATGGAGGGTAAAGACCTAGCCCTGGCCTATAGGAATGGAGGGTAAGAGACCTAGCCCTGGCCTATAGGAATGGAGGGTAAAGACCTAGCCCTGGCCTATAGGAATGGAGGGTAAGAGACCTAGCCCTGGCCTATAGGAATGGAGGGTAAGAGACCTAGCCCTGGCCTATAGGAATGGAGGGTAAGAGACCTAGCCCTGGCCTATAGGAATGGAGGGTAAAGACCTAGCCCTGGCCTATAGGAATGGAGGGTAGAGACCTAGCCCTGGCCTATAGGAATGGAGGGTAAGGAACTGAGGGGTTTATAAGAATGAAGGGTAAGCAGGGTTTTCCCAGGATGTTTTAACAAGGTTGGTGCTGCTGAGTACGGGGGAGGGGGGGATGGGAGGCCCGGAGGGAGTCAGTGCCCCCCTTTTGACTCAGAGATTTTTGCGGCTTTTAACACCTGTAACCGCCATTTCCTGCAATCTAGATCCATAAATGATAACAAATAGTTTTTCTTTTAAAGTTACAAAATCAGCACCACTTTTACATTCTTTGGGGAGAACCCTGGTAAGGAAGGGACCCTGGGGCTTTTAGGCATGGGGACCATGGCTAGTAGGTGATTTCTCTAGTCATATTAGACAAGGAAATTATAAATAGTATATCTACAATGTGGGTGCCATATATCGCTGATGGAAAGAGTGAAGTATCCTGTATCAATGTGCAGTAAAAAGCCTTGTGGAAAGGGCATTATGAAAGAAATCCACTCGCCTTAAATAAGCTGAAATTAGCTTAAGGGCATTGCTCCTCCACAGACAGACAGGTAATCCTGTGATCTGCTCAATGTTTGTAGGCAACGTGACGCCAGCCCATTACGACGAGCAGCAGAACTTCTTTGCACAAATCAAAGGTTACAAGAGGTGCATCCTGTTCCCTCCCGACCAGTTTGAGTGTCTCTACCCCTTCCCTGTTCACCACCCCTGTGACAGACAGAGCCAGGTAAACCCTACTTTTTGATTTAATTCATTTGACAATTTTAAAACAATCAACCAGACGTGGATACAATGTAATCATAGAGGATAACACATCAAGGAAAACGTATTTCAATTGTGGTCCCTTTTGAAACCGGTAAGAAGGTTTGTGGAATAGGCCAAACACAACAGCGTGTTTGATTTGATATGCAGTGGCTTTTCTGTTTCTCAACTGTTTCTGTTTGTTTTTAATTTATCTTACTAACAGCAAGTTTGCTTTCGCCATTTGTAGGTTGACTTTGAGAACCCTGACTATGAGAGGTTTCCCAACTTCAAGAATGTGGCGGGCTATGAGACTGTGGTGGGCCCTGGAGATGTTCTGTACATCCCCATGTACTGGTAGGAGCTGCTTTACACTGTTCTACCTAGTAGTATGTGTGTGGTGGGATCCCATGTACAGTACAGTGTGTATTGGTAAGAGTAGTTCTGTACTGTGTCTGAAAATAGACAGTTTTTGATGTTGTTTTCTCACTGAGGATTCTGTCGCTGAAATGCCAACACTGTGCCATTGTGGAACCAGGCTGGTCAGTTTGACCTGTTGGTGACATTGTAAATGATCTGAGAATCCTGCTCTGTTTTCATTTCATGGCTAATTCAGGTGGCACCATATTGAGTCCCTGCTGAGTGGTGGAGTGACCATCACTGTCAACTTCTGGTACAAGGTAATGTATGTGCTCACTGAAATATGCCAACATGTATCACCATATCAGTATAATTTTTACTACATTCATGTCAACTAATGTTGTGGCACCCCGAAGAAGGCAGTATTACAGTCAAAATATTGGTTAAATGAATTGAATAACTTTGCATTGAAGGATAGATTTCTCACTGTGCAGTCTTCACTAGTCATTTTAAATCAGCATGGATCACCTTGATACATTAGAGGACATGTTATATTTCTGTCCTCACTACATGATCTGTCATTCCCCCAGGGTGCACCCACGCCCAAGAGGATAGAGTACCCACTGAGAGCTCAACAGAAGGTGGCCATCATGAGAAACATAGAGAAGATGCTAGGGGAGGCACTGGGAGACCCACACGAGGTACTGAAACTGGACAAATGAGGAATATTCTGATGGTATTTATTTATGGGAGATCTAGCCTGGTATGTTAAAGCAATTGTACACGAGAGGCCGTGGGTTTGGACTTTTTTAGCACGGCTGTGCTGCGGTCGTAGGTACGAGGTAAAGCCCACCCATCACAATGCTTGTTTTCACCAACGAGTTGTAGAAAGCCTGGTATTTGAATGCACTGGCTACTTTAGGCATATCTGGCATGATGTCATATATCTGGGCATGACAGCCATAATGTCATATATCTGGGCATGACAGCCATAATGTCATATATCTGGGCATGACAGCCATAATGTCATATATCTGGGCATGACAGCCATAATGTCATATATCTGGGCATGACAGCCATAATGTCATATATCTGGGCATGACAGCCATAATGTCATATATCTGGGCATGACAGCCATAATGTCATATATCTGGGCATGACAGCCATAATGTCATATATCTGGGCATGACAGCCATAATGTCATATATCTGGGCATGACAGCCATAATGTCATATATCTGGGCATGACAGCCATAATGTCATATATCTGGGCATGACAGCCATAATGTCATATATCTGGGCATGACAGCCATAATGTCATATATCTGGGCATGACAGCCATAATGTCATATATCTGGGCATGACAGCCATAATGTCATATCTGGGCATGACAGCCATAATGTCATATCTGGGCATGACAGCCATAATGTCAGATATCTGGGCATGACAGCCATAATGTAATATCTGGGCATGACAGCCATAATGTCATATATCTGGGCATGGCAGCCATAATGTCATATATCTGGGCATGACAGCCATAATGTCATATATCTGGGCATGACAGCCATAATGTAATATCTGGGCATGACAGCCATAATGTCATATATCTGGGCATGGCAGCCATAATGTCATATATCTGGGCATGACAGCCATAATGTCATATCTGGGCATGACAGCCATAATGTAATATCTGGGCATGACAGCCATAATGTAATATCTGGGCATGACAGCCATAATGTAATATCTGGGCATGACAGCCATAATGTAATATCTGGGCATGACAGCCATAGTCAGAAGAGTTGGCTAAACCTAAGAACAAACTTATCTGGACCAGGCTGCCAAAGATCCCATAGACACACTAGTTCCAGAGCTAGAACATGACTACATCATTTTTAGAACATCAAATTACATTTCACAGCTCTGAGATCCCAATGAGATTCCATTGAGATGAAGATTCTCGCTGGTTCCATAACTAGAACATGACATCAAATGAATGACATTCCATTTGGCTGCTCTGTATTTAGTTGGTCCCGTAGGAATAGTGCAGAAAGCATGCCATGCCCGGAATCTTTACGGCTCCGGAACGCTGACCCTGATAGCAACCCAATTACTGTGAATATTTATGGTCTACCTGATTTAGCACAGAGTGAATGGAAGAAGGGGGGAGATGTGGTACAGTACAAAGACAGGAGGACAGGACACTCAGTGAAACAACGCTATAGCTACAATATCTTACCTAATAGTAGGCACTAAAAGGTTTTCAACAACTGACTTGTTTTATTGCAACTGTGTTTTAATGCATCTATGTGCTTTCTGTTCCGTAGGTTGGTCCTTTATTGAATATGATGATTAAAGGCCGATATGACCAGGGATTCAGCTAGGTACTGCCTCAAAACTGTCTGTATGTGTGTTTGTGCGTGCCCAGGACATACACCTGATTGTGTGTTTGTAGGTGAGCGTGTGTGTGCAGACACGTGTTTGTGCATTCAGACTGTTGAGCTAGCAGTGACTTGGCCAATCAGCCATTTTGACTCTGTTTTGATTGTCTGGGAGCCATAATCATCGCAACTTCAGCCACCAGTGGGAAGACAATAGTGGACGGACGGACCAGCCATGGAGACCCTCATGTAGTATGCTGTCAGAGAGTGCTACTCAGTTGAGGAACTGTGTAAACTACACAATGTAGAGTTGTGGTATTTTTGTGGGAGTCGAGCGATAGGCAGCCGTGTAGGTATCAAAGAATAACCCCCAAACACCCTCAAAGTGGAAGTTGCCCATAATTAACCACTGATGCAGGGTCAGATATTAGACATTCTATCATCACACGCAATAAGATTGGGGTTGGGAAAATCTGATCCTAGATCTGTAGTTGGGGGTGTGTTGTTAGTCATAACCAACAAGATAATCCCTTCCTCTATTCAACCGCTCCCCTGTCATTACAGTTTGTAACCATAGCAACACACATGTAGCTTGAATATTAAATAGGGAATAGATTTGTAGTAACTAAAGTAGCCCTACTTATTTTATGACAAACTTCTCAATTAATTTGCGGCACATGCACCCTGAAAGAGATGAGTCATATTCCTGTTCTTCTGTTGATTTAATGGTTGACTAGTCAGACTGGTTGACTAGTCAGATTGGTTGACTAGGTCAGACTGGTTGACTAGTCAGATTGGTTGACTAGGTCAGTAAGCTGTTTTTTGTTTCTGTATGATTGCTGAACATTTCTATGTTACAGCCGACATACGTTTTCTTTGATGGTGTGTTTTTGTGTACATTCAGGCGTAACTGATTTTCTGTTGGTGTGTTATTATTTTTTGTTGTTGTAAATTTGTTATGATACATGGTACAATTAAGTTCATGAGGATGGGCTAAAAAGTATTTAAAGTTATTTCAATTGCAGCTGCACAGTAAAATAAGAATATTATCAACCCAACATGCTTTCAGTGTAATGATTTGAAGACATCTCACCAGTTTTGCGATTGAAATTGATCCTAAAACAGGGTATCCCAAACTCAGTCCTGGGGCCTCCCCTGGGTGCACGTTTTGTTTTTTGCCCTAGCGCTACACGGGGGGAGGGGGGGGGGGGGGGGGGGGGGGGGGGGGGGACCTGTCCTAAACAACAGTTATGTTTTGCTCCGGTAACAGTGACAATACGTTAACCCTATATTATTTTAAATTAAATGAAATTTAAAAGTTGTTCTACTTGTAGTTATTACATCTGTATTTCTTAGTACTCCTACCAAGACTGTACCTAGTGGATGGTTTGCGTGCGTGCCTCTCCAATCTCACACTTCCCCTACTGTTGCTGTTTTTTCTCTCAATTCTTTAGGAAGGATGTCAAAGTGTGTGTGTGTGTGAGAGTTCAGTTGAATTCTGGTTGTTATTGTGCCATTGTAAAGTGTTTCTAGTGAACACCACTTCAACAGGTGCAGTTTAGAGCACAGGACCGATTTAAAGCACTCTACTTTTGGAAGTGCTGTGTGCCAAACCAGGTGTGTCCTTACAGGGTTGGGGCTATTTCCATTTCAATTTGGTCAATTCAGGAAGACAACTGTCATTTCAATTTTCCTCAATGATTTTCTGTGAGGAAAATGTGGAGTTGGAATGTTTGTTTACTTAATGTAAACAATGTTCAGAAAGCTGTATGTATGGAGGCCCTGGTGTGACATTGGTTATATTGACTATTTGACTTACATTGGTAATGTGATGATTTTAAAGCTGCATCATATTCATTTGTTATTAAAAGTAATAGCCTAGTTAAACCAGTCTGACCACAGCTGTGTGAATGGTGAACGCAGCATTCAGTCTGATTTAACTACTAGGCTAATATACTAATGCTGCATGTTCAATTCCTACACCTTCAGTGACTGACAAAACATTTCTAGGGGAGTTTCTATGTTCTAGCATTTTCCCAAAAGCATGTATTGTACTCCTCTGGCTTTCTAAAAACATATGGAATCCATCAATGGGAATGTTCATATCTTATTGTTTGTATTTAGGCTAATATTCTAAGAATGTTCATGTCAAGGGAGTGTGTGCTTGATTGTTGATAGTATATCAATATTGTTGATGAATAGACTAGTTATTCAATTAAGTGTTATTTGACAGTTAAGTCTGAGGTTAAATTGCTCTCCTACCTGTGTGCCTAGCTTGGTTATGACATGGCTCAAGAAACAGCAAGAACAATTATTTTTATTAAAGGATCTTTTTATTTAATTTTTTCATTATGCAGCTTTAAATGCAAAACCTGAACAGGGTTAAATGAAAACTATCATCTCTTTGCTGTGTTTTATTTTTATTTTACAAATACAAAACAGTTTTCTGGGTTCCTGCACTTGTATGATTTGAGTTTGTCTGCTGTATGTATTTTGCACTGATTTCAAAATGACAGCTGAACAATGAGTTCTATTGTTGTGCTAGTGGCTTTGTAATAAAATTTTAAACTTTATTGATCAAGTCCTTGTATCAGTCATCACAGCGGTTTGGTGTCAAATTCAAGTCTGTCATTGCAGAGATTCATTGTTAGGAAATAGACCAAAGGATACAGCTATAGCACCGGGAACGTTTAATATAGTAATATCACAGTAATACAATAGTAATATCACAGTATTGTACACTAGCAGTAATTTGTTTTGAGGGATGACCGAGGAAATCGTCTGTCTGATTATTTGAGTCTGACCATGGGAGATTCTCAATGAAAATGATCGGAGAGGTTGAGAGTAGAAGAAGTTCAGGAGAAAAAACAAACAAAATATAATTATTGTAAAATTGACTGTCCATAAAATTTATATAGTAAGTATAAGCTGGAAGTAGAGGCCTAAGCATTGTTGTTCACTAGTTTACTCCAATTAGGGAAAGGGTGGTGGGGTTGGAAAGTAATAAAGGGGAATATATTTTTTTTAAAGGATATGTATGTATATGTATGTGTGTATATGTATATATATATATATAAATAAAAAAACATGGGGGATTGGAAGTGATGCAGACAATTACATTGATGGAAGTTACAATCTATCTGCAATATTAAGCTGATCTACCCCCTAAAGAAAAAGAAAAAGAAAGAAAAAAACGATAACAAAATAAATAAAACAAAAACGATATAAAAAATAGTCCTTCCTCTCCTTCGTGACCCGGAATCCAGTAAGTGGTCGGCATATGTAGGAGTGTCAATTTGTTAATAGGTGAACGAAGCAGTTTGGCTCCTCTCCTCGACTGCCACCACCGGTGGAGGATGCTTGGGTGTATCCTATCGCAGAAGTATTTTGAAATCAGCCACACCCCCTTTGAAACAGCTGTTTTCTCGGAGGGGAAAAGCATGCACACATAAAAAAATTATATGCAACTTATTTATCCTTTTGTCAATAAAATGTCTAGCACAACTAGCATTTTTTAAAACCACTTTACACATGTATTTTGGGATTCCAACTTTGTAAACGTCATTTGCCTGATGACAAGCGCATTTATTTCCTGTTTTCCTCTCCTCAACTCGAAAAGGAGGCGAGGAGAGGATGCGAGGAAATCCAATTGAGATTCTCCACATTTCCTCCAGCCACTTCAAACTTGCCAGGTTGATGTCTGCTGGTCTGTCCTACATTCAATGTGTTCATATTTTATGTCTGACTGGATTCTAACCTGGGTCTTCTGCGTGCCACAAGGAGAAAACAAATGAGAGAAAATGAGAATGGAATGAACTCTACCTACATGTGTATTCATCCTACAGTTTTTAACAGACTGTATGTGATTCCACCTCTGTAAACATAATTTGCCTGATGACAAGCGCATTTATTTCCTGGTTTCCAATCCTCGAAAAGGAGGCGAGGAAATCCAATTGAGATTCTCCCCATTTCTGTTATGCATTTGATTGGGGAACTAATGCAAGTCTTCAATAAATTCACATGCTGATAATGTGCCATTTCCAGCTCTAGGTAGATGTAGATTAGGTTTATTGCCTGGTCCAAGTCACATCAGACACCCAGGAGTTGCTCCAATTCCACCTGTTTCCAGTGTCAGCCCATCTTGGAAATCTTTAATTAGACTGCCTGAAGGGAGATCAACACACAAACATTATATTACAAGCATACATTAATACTCTCAATTGGACAGTCGATAGCAGAGAACATAAGAGATTACTTTTTACACTTCAGTCTGTTTCCCAGATGCGAAATTGAATGGTTCTCTGCCCCAAATGACGATGCTAGCGAGGTTGTTTAGCTGTAAGTAAGGCGGTAGACTTGGATTTAGTTGGACCATTGGTTTAGTCAGAGAAACTCAAGAGAGGGTTGGACCATGGAGTTAGTTAGAGGGCGCAACACTGGATCTGTCCCATTATGGCATCTGTCCCATTTTGGCATCTGTCCCATTATGGCATATGTCCCATTATGGCATCTGTCCCATTATGGCATCTGTGAGACCATAGACAGCGCCATCTCAATTTTGAAGTAGTCAATTTTCTTCTTCTTTATGAGTTGGTAAACAAACTGAAAGGGGTGCATACTGCCTCCTGGAGTGTGTTGTCTGGACAGGTATAAAGCCAAGGTTGGCGATTTACTGCCACCTGCAGTTATGGAATGTTTGCTCACAAGTATAATTCATTGGCTGATCCGTCCTGATGACCTAGATGGAATTATTAGATCCTTCCTTAACACATAGGAAGTCCCACCCAGTTGACTACTTAAAAATTGTGAAAGTCCTCAATGGCGCGCTGCCCATGCTAAAACAGGCTTTTGGGCACTAGAGTCCTCTATCTATCTCTATGAGTTGGACATAGAGATCCTATAATTCACTAAGAATACACTGTGTGTGTAGTAGAACAGTTATAAAGGAGAACCACTAACGTCACTCTCTGGTTTCATTCAGATGCAGACAGCACACTGCCCTCTCGTCCTTGCTGTGCACCACCTCAGAGCAGGCGTGAGCCCCGATCCATACGGCCCGGCTCCGGCCTGTCAGTCGTTTCAACTCGCTCGCCAACGATATTCCTTTCCGCCGATCCTCGCGAACAGGTCTGACACAGTCTTCACGCTGAGCTGTCTGAGGACATTAAAGCTGTTAGTTATGGCCAGCTACTCCAGAGAAATAACCCCAATTTCAGTCATTACAAAATAGTGGGATTTGTTAAGATTTTGAGACATTTGCAAACTGTTCTTTTGATTGGGTTGGTCATGCCATCTTAAACACAGCAAACATTTTTACCTAAACATATTTACAGTTACTGACAAATTCAATACATGTGGCCCATGCAGGAAATCTCATTCATTTGGCTATCAACAACACCTGAAGTATCTCACACACACACACACACACACACACACACACACTCACACACCCCTCATCACATACAGAATGTCCTCATCCTATGTATATCCTCACCTCTTTTCCCTGAGCCTGCTCCCTGAGTCTGAGGATGAACTTCCCCTGACCCCTCCACCTCCCCTGGGCTTGGAACACACAGTCCTGGTCCAGGAGGATCCTCTGGGTGGGTCTGGCAGGGAGCCTGCGCCCCAGGGGTTCCTTGACCACCTCCTCTATCAGAATGTAGTCGCTGGCGTTGTCCGCTGACAGCAGGAGGCTGGACTGTCTGGCTTTCCTCAGTGTCTGCAAGTGAAATGGAGATCAGGTACACGGTTAAAGGCATGATCTGTAATTTGAACAGCCTGCCCCTGCAACTTTGTTTGGTAAGCTAAGGGATGGTGTTAGTGAAATGTAACCACGCCCAAATTCATAGATTGAGCTTCATAGACTGGTGCAAGGATGGACAGTCCATTTGATTCTCCAATGACACTGAACATCTAAAAACATATCAAGAGAGTGCCTGACTCCCATATGCTTACCTGTTGGATGAGGTCATTGCCTGTGATGTGTCTGGGAGCTCTGAGGGTCACTGGTGATTGGTCAGGAGACACTCCATGTACTTCCACCAGAAAGGAATCGTCCTCCAGTCCACAGCTTACGTCCATCTCCTCTAAAACTGGCTTCTCCTCATTCATAGGCTGAAACAAAGGTGAATAGTAAACGTATGGTTAAGATTGAGTCTTTTTTAGAGACATCAACAACAGTTAATTCATATCTGCAAAGAATGGCATAATTGGCGCATTCCACACATTGAAAGGAACAGAGTCAGCTGCAGCGCAGCGCCCCCAGTGCAGTTTTTGGGGTTGAACAAGCTGAACAGGTTGAGTAGATCAAAGACAAAAATGTCCAATATAATTAGAATTCCATGCTCTGAAGCAACACAATTTAGAAACTGTGCAATGACTTTACCAATTGAAAGTCATACATTTGGTCATAAGAGAACGGAACAGTGATTTTGAGTAGGTTGAAATACAACCTGACCTTTTCTCTTGTTTTGAGGCACACTCTGCCCAGGTAGCCTTCGTCAGGGTTCCAGCTCTCAACAACCCTGAGTATCTCCTCCTCAGGCCTGATGATCCTCTGCAGGAGAGGCCTCCGAACCTCCCCCCTCTCACCCCGAGCCTCCCCCCTCTCACGGGGCAATGCCACCCTCTCTTCCATCAGGAAGCAAGAAGAGAAGGAGAAGCAAGTGGAGGAGGAGAGGGATGGAATGATCTGGGAGGCAGAGAGGGATGGAAGGATCTGGGAGGCAGAGCGGGAGAGAGAAAGAGAGATTAAGCATTATATTGGTGCAGCTGCACTGTTAAAATGAATCTCGAAGATCCAAATGTGTAGAATGCAGAGGTACAGTACATGGTGAAGTGAAAAATGCCATGCTCACATTGTGTAGGAGCTCTCTGGCAGTGGTCCTCTCACTCACATCCACCACTGTGAAAGGCTCAGGCCCAGGGACTCCATGTACGGTGACCCTGTACTGCACAGCAGCCCTACGCTCCTCTGTACTAAAAAGCTGGGAGACACACACACACACACACATACAGTGTCATCGGAAAGTATTCAGATCCATTGACCTTTTCCACATTTTGTTATGTTACAGCCTTATTCTAAAATTGATTATTTAAAAAAAATCCTCATCAATCTACACACAATACCCCATAATGACAAAGAGAAAACAGGTTTTTAGAAATGTTTGCAAATGTATTTAAAATAAAAAACAGAAATACCTTATTTACGTAAGTATTCAGACCCTTTGCTATGAGACTCGAAATTGAGCTCAGGTGCATCCTGTTTCCACTGATCATCCTTGAGATGTTTCTACAACTTGATTGGAGTCCACCTGTGGTCAATTCAATTGATTGGACATGATTTGGAAAGGCATACACCGGTCTATATAAGGTCCCACAGTTGACAGTGCATGTCAGAGCAAAAACCAAGCCATGAGGTCGAAGGAATTGTCCGTAGAGCTCTGAGACATGATTTTATCGAGGCACCGATCTGGGGAATGGTACCAAAAAATGTCTGCAGCATTGAAGGTCCCCAAGAACACAGTGGCCTCCATCATTCTTAAATGGAAGAAGTTTGAAACCACTAACACTCTTCCTAGAGCTGGCCGCCTGGCCAAACTGAGCAATCGGGGGAGAAGGGCCTTGGTCAGGGAGGTGACCAAAAACCTGATGGTCACTCTGACAGAGCTCTAGAGTTCCTCTGTGGAGATGGGAGAACCTTCCAGAAGGACAACCATCTCTGCAGCACTCCACCAATCAGGCCTTTATGGTAGAGTGGCCAGACGGAAGCCACTCCTCAGTAAAAGGCACATGACAGCCCACTTGGATTGAAGTATTTGGCCTGAATGCAAAGTGTCACGTCTGGAGGAAAACAGGCACCATCCCTACGGTGAAGCATGGTGGTGGCAGCATCATGCTGTGGGGCTGTTTTTCAGCGGCAGGGACTGGGAGACTAGTCAGGATCAAGGCAAAGATGAATGGAGCAAAGTACAGAGAGATCCTTGATGAAAACCTTCTCCAGAGTGCTCAGGACCTCAGACTGGGGCGATGGTTCACCTTCCAACAGGACAATGACCCTAAGCACACAGCCAAGACAACGCAGGAGTGGCTTCGGGACAAGTCTCTGAATGTCCTTGAGTGGCCCAGCCAGAGCCCGGACTTGAACCCGATCGAACATCTCTGGAGAGACCTGAAAATAGCTGTGCAGCAACGCTCCCCATCCAACCTGACAGAGCTTGAGAGGATCTGCAAAGAATGGGAAAAACTCCCCAAATACAGGTGTGCCAGGCTTGTAGCGTCATACCCAAGAAGACTCAAGGCTGTAATCGCTGCCAAAGGTGCTTCAACAAAGTACTGAGTAAAGGGTCTGAATACTTATGTAAATGTGATATTTCTGTTTTTTACTTTTAATAAATTAGCAAAAATGTATAAAAACCTGTTTTTGCTTTGTCATTATTTGGTATTGTGTGTAGATTGATGAGGGGGGAAAAACTATTTAATCAATTTTAGAATAAGGCTGTAACCTAACAAAATGTGGAAAAAGTCAAGGGGTCTGAATACTTTCAGAAGGCACAGTACAGCGTGAGTTTAGTGGTTACTGCAGGGCTGAATCAAAATCCTGCACACCCTGTAGCTCTCCAGGACAGGAGTAGGAGAGAACCCTGCACTACACACTCACTACACACTATAGACTACAGACTCACCCATGACGCAGGCCGTGAACCTGCTGTTCCACTGTCTTCAGATGTACGGCTGTAGATGAACAGACTGGAGACTGGCAGGGCCTCATTGTGCTGATTCCTCAACTGCACGTGTCTGTATCCTACCACACACACACAAAGAGTTTGAAATAATTGCCACTGTTAGTATTGGGAATATAATGCTCTCATTTGACAGCATTGCAACTTTTTCTGCCTTTCTTCTAGTTTTGTTTTACCCATGCTGTCTCTTGAAAGTGAACTTGATATGGGCATAGCATTTCTACCAGTTTTGTGTGAATTCAATTAGCTAATCAAATTTTAAAAGTTGTCTTTATCTTCAGTTTTCCTGTAAAGTATAGAATGATTTCAACACAGACTGTTTTATTGGACAGCAGGAGGGAAAAAACGGTACAAATACGACCTACGCAGATCGATCAAGATGACAAGACACAAGTATAGGGACAGAGTGGAGGAGCAACTCAGCAGGTCGGATACGAGGCGTATGTTGAAAGGGCTTCTAACGATCACAGATTACAAAAAGAAAGTCAGTCACGTCGCGGACACCAACACCGCCCTGCCGGACGAGCTAAACACCTTTTTCTCACACTTCGAGCAAAACGACTCTGAGCTGCCGAGGAGAGCCACTGAGGACAATGAGGGCTAAGTGCTTACAGTCTCCATGGAGGACGTAGTTAACCCTTGAAAGGCTGCCGGCCCAGGTGGCATCCCTAACACACCCTCAGAGCATGTGCTGACCAGCTAGCTGTTGTGTTTTCTGACATTTTGTTATGTACACTACCGGTCAAAAGTTTTAGAACACCTACTCATTCAAGGGTTTTTCTTTATTTTTACTATTTTCTACATTGTAGAATAATAGTGAAGACATCAAAACAATGAAATAACACATATGGAATCATGTAGTAACCAAAAAAGTGTTAAACAAATCAAAATACATTTTATATTTGAGATTCTTCAAATAGCCACCCTTTGCCTTGCTGACAGCTTTGCACACTCTTGGCATTCTCTCAACCAGCTTCATGAGGTAGTCACCTGGAAAGCATTTCAATTAACAGGTGTGCCTTCTTAAAAGTTAATTTGTGGAATTACTTTCCTTCTTAATGCGTTTGAGCCAATCAGTTGTTTTGTGACAAGGTAGTAGGGGTATACAGAAGAGAGCCCTATTTGGTAAAAGACCAAGTCCATATTATGGCAAGAACAGCTCAAATAAGCAAAGAGAAAAGACAGTCCATCATTACTTAAAGACATGAAGGTCAGTCAATACGGAACATTTCAAGAACTTTGAAAGTTTCTTCAAGTGCAGTCGCAAAAACCATCAAGCGCTATGATGAAACTGGCTCTCATGAGGACCGCCACAGGAAAGGAAGACCCAGAGTTACCTCTGCTGCAGAGGATAAGTTCATTAGAGTTACCAGCCTCAGAAATTGCAGCCCAAATAAATGCTTCACAGAGTTCAAGTAACATACACATCTCAACATCAGATGTTCAGAGGAGACTGTGTGAATGTTATGGTGTGGGGGTGTTTTGCTGGTGACACTGTCTGTGATTTATTTAGAATTCAAGGCACACTTAACCAGCATGGCTACCACAGCATTCTGCAGCGATACGCCATCACATCTGGTTTGGGTTTAGTGGGACTATCATTCGTTTTTCAACAGGACAATGACCCAACACACCTCCAGGCTGTGTAAGGGCTATTTTACCAAGAAGGAGAGTGATGGAGTGCTGCATCAGATGACCTGGCCTCCACAATCCCCCGACCTCAACCAAATTTAGATGGTTTGGGATGAGTCGGACCGCAGAGTGAAGGAAAAGCAGCCAACAAGTGCTCAGCATATGTGGGAACTCCTTCAAGACTGTTGGAAAAGCTTTCCAGGTGAAGCTGGTTGAGAGAATGCCAAGAGTGTGCAAACCTGTCATCAAGGCAAAGGGTGGCTATTTGAAGAATCTCAAATATAAAATATATTTAGATTTGTTTAACACTTTTTGGGTTACTACATGATTCCATATGTGTTATTTCATAGTTTTGATGTCTTCATTATTATTCTACAATGTAGAAAATTGTAAAAATAAAGAAAAACCCTTGAATGAGTAGGTGTTCTAAACCATTTGACCGGTAGTGTATATATTTGTTGTATTTCTTCCCCCCCTTTTCCCCAATTTCGTGATATCCAATTACGATCTTGTCTCATCGCTGCAACTCTCCAACGGGCTCGGTTGAGTCATGTGTCCTTCGAAACCCGCTAAACCGCGCCTCTTAACACCCGCCCGCTTAACCCGGGAAGCCAGCCGCACCAATGTGTCGGAGGAAACATCGTTCAACTGACGACCGAAGTCAGCCTGCATGTACCCGGCCCGCCACAAGGAGTCACTAGAGCGCGATGAGCCAAGTAAAGCCCCCTCGGCAAACCCTCCCCTAACCCAGACGACTCTGGGCCAATTGTGCGCCGCCCTATGGGACTCCCGGTCACAGCCGGGTGTGACACAGCCTGGGATCGAACACGGGTCTGTAGTGACGCCTCAAGCATTGCGATGCAGTGCCTTAGACTGCTGCGCCACTCGGGAGGCCCCGTTTTTGGACATTTTCAATCTCTCTCTAGCTCAGGCTGTTAACCCCACCTGCTTCAAGATGTCCACTATCATCCTCGTGCCCAAGACAGGGAAAGTAACTGAACCAATACAGACCTGTAGCACTCACTTCCGTCATAATGAAGTGCTTCGAGAGGGTAGTCAAAGACTACATCACCTCCTCCGTCCCCGACACACTCGACTCTGTCCAGATCCACGGATGACACAATCACCCTCGCACTGCACTCTGCCCTCACCCACCTGGACAAGAGCAACGTGAGGACTACAGCTCGGCCTTCAATATCACAGTGCCCTCTAAGCTCACCACAAAGCTCACAGTCTTGGGACTGAACTCCTCCCTGTGCAACTGGTTCCTAGACTTCCTGACGGCCAACCCCAGGTGGTGAAGGTGGGCAACAATACCTCCTCCACACTGATTATCAACACGGGGGTCCCACAAGGGTGCGTCCTCAGTCCCCTCCTGTATTCCCTGTATACCCACAACTGCGTGGCCTCACACAGTTCCATCTCCACCATCAAGTTTGCTGACGACACAACAGTAGTAGGCCTGATTACCAACAACAACGAGACGGCCTACAGGGAGGAGGTAGGCATTCTGAAGGTGTGGTGCCAGGTAAACAACCTCTCCCTCAACGTTAGCAAAACAAAGGAGCTGATTGTGGACTTCAGGAGGAACCAGGCTGGGCACGCCCCCATCCTCATCAATGGGACTGTCATGGAGACGGTCAAAAACCTCAAGTTCCTCTGCGTACACATCTCCGAGGTGCTGAAATGGTCAAACCACACGGACACCGTGGTGAAGAAGGCATGACAGCGACTCTTTAACTCTGGAAGCAACGCAAGCACAATAACTGTTAGTCGGGAGCTTCATGAAATGGGTTTCCACATTTTTTTTTCCCAGGTCTATTGTTGAACTATCAAGGTCCCCCTAAAACGACTTGTTAATAGCTCTGCCAGTGTTTGTAGTTCCGGTGTCCTTGCACAAACAAAGAAGATCATTCCTAACAGAATAGTTTGTGCAGGAATTAGGCTCATTATAGCAGCATCTAGGCCTTCATTTCCATTCAACAGTTAGGCTGTACCCCATCTAAATGAAAAAAGGGGAACTTCACATCTTTCATTCACTCTTTCTGTAACTTGAATCTTACCTTACATTTTATTAAAATAATATCACAAATGAATTTAAACAGATTTTTATATTTTAAATGCATATTTAAAGTTATACTGTATATATTTTTTTACTTGCAGCTTTAATGTAAATATGCAGTAGAATCGGATGTAGACATTTTAGTTGAAATATCCCAACATTTGAACTAAAACAACAATGGCCTTACAGACATTTCCTTAGGATATGCATGGATGCAATGACGCAAAACAAACGTTTGCGCTGAGGTAAATACTATGTAGGCTATGTATAGCCATAGAATCAAATCAGATCCATAGTCTAATTCATTACTATCTTAATTCTTGCAAAACCAATTGAAAAATCTGAAATAATGGAAAACCTTTGCCCATAATTGCTCGCATAAATTAATACTTTGGAAATGCTTTGGACTCATAACCAGTAGCCTAAGTGAAATCAAATGTATTATTGTATGAAATATGTATTAAAATGATATGCAGTGGTAGGCTACAACAACTGAATGCTATCAAATGCAACATGCCTACCCCCAGAATAAAAATTAAAGTATAATTAATTATCAATCAATCAATCAATCAATCAATTTTATTTTATATAGCCCTTCTTACATCAGCTAATATCTCGAAGTGCTGTACAGAAACCCAGCCTAAAACCCCAAACAGCTAGTAATGCAGGTGTAGAAGCACGGTGGCTAGGAAAAACTCCCTAGAAAGGCAAAACCTAGGAAGAAACCTAGAGAGGAACCAGGCTATGAGGGGTGGCCAGTCCTCTTCTGGCTGTGCCGGGTGGAGATTATAACAGAACCATGCCAAGATGTTCAAAAATGTTCATAAGTGACAAGCATGGTCAAATAATAATCAGGAATAAATCTCAGTTGGCTTTTCATAGCCGATCATTAGAGTTTAAAACAGCAGGTCTGGGACAGGTAGGGGTTCCATAACCGCAGGCAGAACAGTTTAAACTGGAATAGCAGCAAGGCCAGGCGGACTGGGGACAGCAAGGAGTCACCACGGCCGGTAGTCCCGACGTATGGTCCTAGGGCTCAGGTCTCTCAGTTGGCTTTTCATAGCCGATCATTTAGAGTTGAAAACAGCAGGTCTGGGACAGGTAGGGGTTTCGTAGCCGCAGGCAGAACAGTTGAAACTGGAATAGCAGCAAGGCCAGGCGGACTGGGGACAGCAAGGTGTCATCATGCCCGGTAGTCCTGACGTATGGTCCTAGGGCTCAGGTTCTCAGAGAGAAAGAGAGAACGAGAGAATTAGAGAGAGCATACTTAAATTCACACAGGACACTGGATAAGACAGGAGAAGTACTCCAGGTATAACCAACTAACCCCAGCCCCCCGACACATAAACTACTGCAGCATAAATACTGGAGGCTGAGACAGGAGCGGTCCGGAGACACTGTGGCCCCATCCGAAGAAACCCCCGGACAGGGCCAAACAGGAAGGATATAACCCCACCCACTCCGCCAAAGCACAGCCCCCGCACCACTAGAGGGATATCCCCAAAAAGTGGAGAGAAAATCCAGGTGCACTAAGTCTTGAATGGGCATGTGAAGACAAATAGGTCTGGGTCATTTACCTACATATATCCTCCCTATTTGTGGCCATTCACTTAGTATATGCCCATTCAGTTTGCATATGGTGCTCATTCAGAGGCATTTCAGAATTGTTAAAGCTATAGTCCTTAATTAAAAGAATAACAAAGAGGCCACCCCACCACTGTTTTGGTAAAAAGCTGAGGGATGGGCCTGGAGAAATGTAACCATTCTCAAATTCATAGACAGACCTATGGATGCAATGATTGACTATCCATGACATCAAAATGATAGTTTTAACCATGTTTTGAGGCTATAGTGTTTGTATTTACATTGTACAAACTTTGGAGGAAAACAAGCTTATACAGTGGGGAGAACAAGTATTTGATTCACTGCCGATTTTGCAGGTTTTCCTACTTACATAGCATGTAGAGGTCTGTAATTTTTATCATAGGTACACTTCAACTGTGAGAGACGGAATCTAAAACAAAAATCCAGAAAATCACATTGTATGATTTTTAAGTAATTAATTTGCATTGTATTGCATGACATAAGTATTTGATCACCTACCAACCAGTAAGAATTCCAGCTCTCACAGACCTGTTAGTTTTTCTTTAAGAAGCCCTCCTGTTCTCCACTCATTACCTGTATTAACTGCACCTGTTTGAACTTGTTACCTGTTTGAAAGACACCTTTCCACACACTCAATCAAACAGACTCCAACCTCTCCACAATGGCCAAGACCAGAGAGCTGTGTAAGGACATCAGGGATAAAATTGTAGACCTGCACAAGGCTGGGATGGGCTACAGGACAATAGGCAAGCAGCTTGGTGAGAAGGCAACAACTGTTGGCACAATTATTAGAAAATGGAAGAAGTTCCAGATGACGGTCAATCACCCTCAGTCTGGGACTCCATGCAAGATCTCACCTCGTGGGGCATCAATGATCATGAGGAAGGTGAGGGATCAGCCCAGAACTACACGGCAGGACTTGGTCAATGACCTGAAGAGAGCTGGGACCACAGTCTCAAAGAAAACCATTAGTAACACACTACGCCGTCATGGATTAAAATCCTGCAGCGCACGCAAGGTCCCCCTGCTCAAGCCAGCGCATGTCCAGGCCCGTCTGAAGTTTGCTAATGACCATCTGGATGATCCAGAGCAGGAATGGGAGAAGGTCATGTGGTCTGATGAGACAAAAATAGAGCTTTTTGGTCTAAACTCCACTCGCCGTGTTTGGAGGAAGAAGAAGGATGAGTACAACCCCAAGAACACCATCCCAACCGTGAAGCATGGAGGTGGAAACATCATTCTTTGGGGATGCTTTTCTGCAAAGGGGACAGGACGACTGCACCGTATTGAGGGGAGGATGGATGGGGCCATGTATCGCGAGATCTTGGCCAACAACCTCCTTCCCTCAGTAAGAGCATTGAAGATGGGTCGTGGCTGGGTCTTCCAGCATGACAACGACCCGAAACACACAGCCAGGGCAACTAAGGAGTAAGAAGCATCTCAAGGTCCTGGAGTGGGCTAGCCAGTCTCCAGACCTGAACCCAATTGAAAATCTTTGGAGGGAGCTGAAAGTCCGTATTGCCCAGCGACAGCCCCGAAACCTGAAGGATCTGGAGAAGTTCTGTATGGAGGAGTGGGCCAAAATCCCTGCTGCAGTGTGTGCAAACCTGGTCAAGACCTACAGGAAACGTATGATCTCTGTAATTGCAAACAAAGGTTTCTGCTTTTCTGATGTATCATATACTTATGTCATACAAAATCATACAATGTGATTTTCTGGATTTTTGTTTTAGATTCCGTCTCTCACAGTTGAAGTGTACCTATGATAAAAATTACAGACCTCTACATGCTTTGTAAGTAGGAAAACCTGCAAAATCGGCAGTGTATTAAATACTTGTTCTCCCCACTGTATTTTGGGTTCTGATGGGTTACGACAGTTGAACTAAGCTCATGAGGCATTTATAAGTTATATTCTCCAAGAATCAATGGGTATATATAATTTATTTACAAGTCCAAAAATGGATGTAGCAACTAAGGATTCTAGCTTTAATGTTAGGAAAGAATGTACACCTACAGCCACACTCACAGCAGGTGTTCATGTTTGAAATGTCTCGTGACAATTAGTCTCTTTTCATCTGACTGTAGCATTACCAGGCTTGGGTCTTCTAATAAAAAACACACTATTTGTCTGTGTGTGGAAGATAAGTCACAGATGAAATTGTGTAGTGTGTGTCTTTGTGTGTGTTTTTTCAGAGTGTGCGCATGCACAAGTCTAGTGTGTGTACTTACCTGTCCGGAGTGCTCTGAGTGATATGATTCTCTGAGCGGTGGTCTGGGAGCTGTTGTGTTCCACCACAGTAAAGCGTAGGAAGGCCAGGTCAGCCATGAGCAGGGGGAAGTGGAAGCTCTGGTTCCAAATGGGGTTCAGGGGGTTACGGTGGACAGGTTTGGTGCGGAAGTGACACCCGTCAGCCTGCATGCCCAGGATGTCTACCTCGATGCATGGACTGCCTGCTGTAGTCCCTGGGCATAGATTCTGACCAGAGATTATCTGGAAGGAATGGAAAGAGAGAAGGAGGGGGGAGATAGGAGAGAGACACAGATAGAGAGAAAGACGTCAAGAAAAAACATGTTGCATCAGATGAACTGACCGAGGACCACTAGCTAGTTGTTGTACACATGTATACATCCAATCCATTACCTCTGCTATGTACTCACAGTGAGAGACAACAGGGCGGGGCTCATGCCCTCTGGGTCTCTGTCCAGGGGGCAGAAGTGTCCGTAGAGTGGGCAGCTGGGGTCCCACAGGACCGGGGGCTTCAGGACGTACCCACAACCCCTGTTAGGCTCAAACATGGCGGCGTTCAGCTGCAGGGGTAGGTCTGAGTGAGGGTGAGAGTGAGAGAGAGGAGAGAAATATGTTTACTTTCAGAGAGACTCAAAAAGAGGTTTGTGCTCCAACAACTAGACTTTCAGACAGAATGCCATTTTCAAGAAGCATGTTGTGCTCCAATTTCAATTGACTTCTCTGAATCAACTTCTGAAATATTGAATTCGCCGAACCCCTTGTCCCTTCATACTTTTGACTGAATGCAGACAGGGCCAACTCATTCTGGCAATAGGCCAAACATCGGTTCCTCACATGAAGCTAGCCAAATTAATTTAACTTTTGGCATAATTAAGCAAACTTGACTTAGTTGACGACTCCTAGCGTCTAGCTCACCATCGGTCTGGTAGTTGAGAGCGACCAGCTGTATTCCATGCAGCCAGAAGAGTAGGGGACTGGGGTTGGTGGAGTCGATACGTGTGGCTGCCGGGTAGGTCCGCAGGAGCTGGGCGCTGGTGTGTTGGATCAGCTTCCGGGAGTAGCGGCGACACAGGCGCTTGGCGGCGTTTCATTGACTGAGGAGACGTTGTAGCACTTTGGGGTGTGGATGATGGAGCTAAGGGAGGCGTTACAGGTGTAAGGAGGGGAGGTGTGGGATTCTTCCCAGTTGGGACGGGGGCCCTCTGATGCTGTTCCTTCAGATTTAGGGGGAAAGGGTTATGAGAGAAGTGTGTGTAAGAGGTATGTATTTGTGTGTGTGTGTGTGTGTGTGTGTGTGTGTGTGTGTGTGTGTGTGTGTGTGTGTGTGTGAGACACACTGAACGCAAAGGGTTTAACTTATCAACTTTCAAATATATCCAAAAGATGTCCAGCCTGTCTAGGAAGAAGTAGCAGAACCTTAGCCATTGAGTTAGAACTGAGTGTTGATAGATAGGCATGGGGCAGAGAAGAGTAGCCTACCTCTCCCTGGGGTACGCATGACTGTCGATGGGTCCCCTGGAACACCTTTCCCTGGATCTTTCCCAAAGATGGACCTCCTTCCCTTTCCTCTAGGAGAAAGGAATTCCTGTCTCTCTTTTCGCTCCCTGGGAGACTCAGATGTAGTGGGGGTGGATAGACCTGGGACACACACGGACTCATACCTTTACAAGGAGATCTCACAAGTCAGACAACTGTTTCAGGGATATTACATGAACCTACTATCGTGAATGTGTGACTGGAACACAAGGCTATTTACATTGTATAGTTTGTTTATAGAAGATGACATAATGAAAGGAAGGACCTGGGAATTTGACAGCTTGGCAGTAGATCACCAGATCCGATAGCTCCTGGGCTATCTGGCGTCCTTCCTTCTTGCTCCGAGGCAGCTTGAACTCTTCCTCCAGCTCCTTGCCAAATACCTGTGTGTGTGTGTGTGTTTGTGTGTGTTTGTGAGAGTGTGTGTGTGTGTAAAAATACAAACGAGGCAAAACTCTTTCAGACAAATACCAACAATATCCATGCTGAATATTTATTCTTAACCCATGTCTCATGATGTTATTAATCAAATATAATGGGAGAAACTGGTTAATTAAGAAAAATACCAACAAGATAAATACTTTTGTATTTCTACGTCTACTGGATCCTGCCGCTGAATGGAGATGGAGGATAAACTCACTTCTCCTTTGTTGTCAGTAGATCTCTTGCATTTCTTCATCTTCTTGGGGACTTCGTCACTGTGTTTGGTCTGTAACTTCTCCCCTGATGAAGACTTTCCCTCCGGCCTATCCTCCAAGATATTATCTGTATCAACGTAGACATTCCCAGCCAAATACATTATTATTGCAGTCTAAACAAAAACACACATTCATGCAGTGAAATATAATTTGAGGTTTTCAGTGACAAATAACTATGTAACATTCAAACATGTGGCCAAAAACGATTGGCTTTCAAGCAATCTCTTGTTGTTTTTGACCCACTTGGTAATCAAATTGAGTATCAGTGGGTACTCATTTAGTAGATAAGAAGCTTTCCAAATGTCACAACACCCTCGTGCAATGGACACATAGTCACACAGCCAGTGTACTAGAGCACAGCACAAACAGAGCACAAACCTATTCAGCAACAGGACAACAAGCATGCTGTGGAATTGTCAAATCTTAAGTGATTCATTTGATTCTTTTTATTACCTTCTTGGACAGAAGAAGCAGCAGATAAAGCCAGGGCATCAGCTACAGAGGAAGAGTGAGTAGGGGGTCAAAGGTTAAGTAGAAGAATTGGGATGATCAACAGTATTGCTGTTTGAGGGCATTATGAGGGTGTGACGACTATAAACTGGCATACACTGGGATGCTATTGGTGTTGTGATCATACCATCAGATAGTGATTCATACTCATAGTCGTATTCATCCTCATCCTCTTCTTCCTCCTGTTCCTCATTGGTTGGGAAGGGAGGAGGCATCACACTACTGGCCTGAGCATGCATCTGGGCCAACTGGTGAGCCTGTATCAGGAAGAGTCATTTATGACAATCTTATTTCCTTCTAATTACGTATCAGTGTACCATCATTTTGAGGTACATATAGCACATTATATAGATACAGGACTGGATCAACAACTGTTAAGAGAACTTTTGGTCAGTGTGTTCCTTATCAGTGGCCTTGCCTTCTGTTTGAGGATGTCCACCGGCGTCTGGTGATCTTTCAGCTTCTTGTTCTTGAGGAGGATTTTCCCCCTCAGTTGCCATGGTGACGGCAGCAGCGGGTCGTCCAAGAAATCACTCTCGAACAGGAACTTTGTCACCAGTTTATCCCCAAACACAGTCTGTTGAAGGACAACACAAACACACCATCAGAGTTCTAAACTGTTCTGAGGGGAAGAAGGATCAATAATGATTGACTTATTAAAGGCAATGTACAGTATGTTGCGGGTGGCGGTTCCCTAACTCTATGACTAACCTGAACCCTTAACCTAACCTCACCCCCTCTCCACTTCCTTTCGTAAAACACCAACGAGCATCAGAAAGAGCCCATTTCACATCTCAACATTTAAACACTGAACTGGACAGGACAGTAAGTAGGCCTACCCACCTTGAAGATGTCGGCCATCTTGCGTTGCTGCGGCAGGGAGCAGTGATTCTCTATGGACAGCATCACAGGTAGGTCAGAGGTCACGAAGGCAGAGCGGTTCACCGCCTCCACCACATCCTGCAGGAACGGGAGATTAACTCAACTCAATAAATGAAATTCAACTCAACTCATCTCATCTTAGTTAAACTAAATTCAACACACCTTGAAGGGTATGCGGGTAGTGAGGGTGTGTCCATGGTAGATGATCGGCATGCCATCGTCTCCATCCCAACAGTCTAGTTCAACACTCCTGCATCCCTGGAGGAGCACCTGAGACAACAACAAACCAAACAGTAATGTGGACACCTGGACACAACACCTGGACACCTGGACACAACACCTGGACACAACACCTGGACACCTCTATGGCTTGGATCAGAAGGTTTGGATCTCTTGATGTAATTGGCTAAGGTGTTGGACTGACAGACGCAAGGACCTGGGTTCAAATCCTGGTAGGGCTACCCCCCAAATTCACAACAATAAAGGCTTTTCACTGACAGTTTATCACCACAACAGCTGTATTGCTGTACACTCAATCGGTTTGAGTAAATATTACATGGAGTGTTATCCCCGTCAGGGTAATACCAGTGTTCTGATTGTCACCTGGCTGTACAGCTCCACAGACGACCCTCCCTTGAGTTGGTGTGCGGTCAGGTAGGTGTTGTGTGATGTAGCAATGTAGTAGTATGACAGAGGGTACTGGAGCTCTTCAATATTCAGCGGAGACTCTTCCAGTTTGGAAGCAGAGTTGTCCTTGTCCATCAGATACCTTATAGCAGGGGAAAACCAACCTGGGTCATTCCTGAATTGGGGTACTTTTTGGCTCAGTTGATAAGAGCAGGGTCATGGGTTCAATTCCCGCAGGGATCACAAACACATACAAGAAATACTGACCGGGCAAATCCCTCAAAGGACATCCAGCCAATCTGACGCAAAGTGGCAGATGGTTCAAAAGTCTGGAACACACAACACATTAATTCAGTGGAAGATTGTCTGCCAAAGGACACACACACACACACTTCATCGTCACACACCTGGATGATTCTTAGGACTTCATCATGCGAGTGGTTCTCTCCCTGACAGTTGACCAGGAAGTCGTTGAGGTGCATGATGGTCATGCCCAGAGCTCCCAGCGAGACACTCTCCACACCAGTACCATTGGTCACGATGCTGGCTGCAGCTATGGCGTCTGAAATATGCTTCTGATTGTCTGACATGTGTCTCTTGATCCGGATGGAAAGACCAAGGTCCAGGCCGTTACGCGTCAGAAGGTCTAGTATGGGGGGAAATACAAAATAAAGACATTTACACTTGACTTCAAAGCAAATATGAGTAGCTCAGTTTATTTACATACACAGCCCTGATTGGCTGATAGGATGGTCTAGAGCCCATCCCCTTACCCAGATGAATAGTCATTGGTCTATTATAATCAGATCAGATTGTGACGTCATGATCTGGACCAAAAACTCCATCCCACCTGAACAGGCTGAAATTCAAGGCATTCAAATAAATGTCGGTGTTATTTCCACCTCAGTGTCGAAATATAAAAAAACAGGAATATCAAGTTTTTAACTGCACTACCCCTTAAAGGGCCTTTCACACTGCACAGACCGTCTTAGCCTAGGGCTGAGAGCTTCCTGTACGTTTGTAGTGTAGTTTGAAGACTGATGTATCCTAGACTGGTCCCAGATCTGTTTGTGCTTCTCTCACCAACTCCAGTGGTCCTTGACATGCCAAGCATGATGATATAGCACATACAGATCTGGGACCAGGCTTCATTACTCCTGTAGAATCTAAATGGAATTGACCCCAACTGGGCAGGTAACTCACCCAGGTAACTCACCCAGGTAACTCACCCAGGAAACTCACCCAGGAAACTCACCCAGGAAACTCACCCAGGAAACTCACCCAGGTCTGGTTGTATTCCTGTGACTGTGTCGTCGATGCTGAGGTGAGTGTAGAGAGGAGCAGGCTCAGAGGCAGACTGAACACAGGGCACAGCATGGGCATCAAACACATCCTTCAGGTCCTTACGACTCCGGATACTACACACCAACAAAAAGATGGAGGCCCCAATTCACTCATTTGAAGATAATGTCAACTTCCTAAGACATGCTGGTGCAAATCAAACACACTACTGAAAGCCCTATCTGGAAATCCACAATCTGTCATTGATTAAATAGTGGCAATTTTTTACACTGGGAAAACACTGGGAAAATCATAAGGAATGTACATCTCACTGCTGTAACAACACTTAATGTATTACACAATAATACAGTATAGATAGATACATGTTGAGTTAGAGGAGATTACCTGAAGGACTTGAAGAGCTCAACAAACTCAGTAAACCTCATTGTGCCATCTGACACCATGAGGTTCTGGAAGCTCTTTGATTGGCTCTTACCCCGGCTAGGTAGTGTCTGATTTGGCCTATTACTGAAGCGAGAAGCCAATGAAATGTTATGTGTACTGAATTTCAGCACAAACATCAGCACACCCAAATTAAACATGAAGCATATGCACGCACACACACACGCACACGCACACACACACACACACACACACACAGAAGAATATACCACAGTTTGTAGTATCTTACCCTGTTTGAGCCTTGTGATTGGAGGCTGAGGAAGAGGAGGAGATGGAGGAGGAAGAGGTACTAATGGCCATGGATCTACTGGTGGAGGAGGAGAGAGGCCCAGGGAAACCATAGGAGCTGCTGTCCTCCTGGTCTTGGTCCATGTTGTCTGTCGGGTCTGGTGCACTCCGCCCTAAGATATCCCAACCGCTCTTCACCTTCTGTGACACCATCTCATCATCTGTGGCATCCCCACTGTCCCCCTGTCACCATGCACGCACGCACACACACACACACACACACACACCAAATGTAGTTATTTTATTGAAACTGACTCAACATGTTCCTCCAACCAAGCGCCAGGCATTTGTGCAGGAGTTGAATAAATCTCTACTGCAAATATCTCTCCTCACCCTAGTCACAGACTTCTTTTTCTTCTGATTGGAGGTCACAGTGAGATGGCTGTTCTTCTGAGCTCCAGACTTCTCCATGCTACCAGCACCCACACTCCATCTCCTGCCCCCAAACAGCTCGATGGCCTGGGCTAGTGTCGGACCCTCGTATCTGCCATCCTCCTGGAAGAGAGAGGAACATGTTCTTGGTACAAAATGGTAAATCACTCACATCTACTCACTCATGACTGCTGACACCATTCACACTCTACCAGTAGGGACTGGGACTGGAACACTACAAGACTTGGGACTTGACTTGGACCCGAGGTTTAGTAACTGGACTCCATCATTGCATCGCAGTCCCTCACCTGATAGAGATTGACGTACTTCCTCCGGAGCCACTGCAGCCTTTGGTCAGGGAACTTCCTCATCCTCCTGTGAACAGCTAACAGGGCCTGCAGCCCAGAGTACACCATTCTAGCTGTGTTTCTGGGGGCCACAAAGTGTAATAACCTGTTGTCTGTTGTATGGAGCCCATAGAGCAGAGTCACCCCACACTCCTCCAGGCTCAGCCCACATGAGAGCTTGTTCTGCAGGCATGTCGCCTGAACATCAGCCCCTGGATGGCCCATGAAGACAGCTTTAGCCACGGAGAGATCCAGGAATCCATCCAACTGGCCATTCAGTATGGGCTGCCCACAGTACTGACCGCCAGCCCCTGACACAGTGGGGCTCCGGAGCTTGGAGGAGTCAGGGCCAGGGCTAGAACCAGGCAGGCCCCCACCACCACTGTGGAGCTTGGCCCAGGTGAGGACACAATTGTCGGGTTGGAGTCGGAGCAGGCAGCGGGCGGTGAGGTGGGAGTCCTGGTCGTAGTGGATCACAGTAGCGCCCTGCTGGAGGAAGTGGTGCACGTGGGGCTGGAGGGAGAGGACGTACCACGGGATGAGTTCTGTACCGTGGGCAAAGGCCTTCTGAGTCCTCTCACCCGTACCCTGGAAGTCTGGGTCTTTGCCCTGTGATAGGTCAGATAGGTCACCCGAAGACTCGGAGAGATCACCCACGGTGAACCTGACCAGAGAAGAGTGTTTTCAGGAGAGGTAAATGACCGAAAGAAGCTTTAAAATGATGCAGATGTTATTATCTATAATAAGACACCAACACAAAACAAATGATAATGCATTGATACTTATATTAAGAAAAATAATATGTAATATTGAAATGGGGAGCCAATTTCACCTAGCTTGTATCAGATAGCAGGTGTTGTGGTATCAGTGTTTTTTCCGATTTTATTGACACTTTCTAGCACAATCAGAGCCAAAATCTTGCACAATCAACTAAAAAGTAGCCTAACGTTAGGTGGGCCCACTGTGGACACTTACTGGTTGCGGTTGCCATCCTTGAAGGAGTTTTTACGTGAACCAGTGATGCTCCCATCACCAGACCCTCCAGACTCCTCCCAATCCTCAGACTCCATACTGCGGTTGCAGCTACGGATGGTCTGCAGGATGTTGTTGACGGTTGCTTCCTTCTCTGGTTGGTTGAGCCCATCTGGCCCCGCCCGTTGCAGGAAGTTGTCCTGTCCGTTGTAGTCAGAGACAAACTACGCAGTAGCGGTGCGTGGATAAAATCACCAGGGAAAAAATGCCATATTACCACCTATGTGTTAGTGATAATTGCGTTGTTTGCTCTATAACCTGTTAGTTCATATGTCTTGACACCGTGAAGAAGACACAACGGCAGAATAAATCCAACCACACCTTTGTTTCATCACAAAACCGGAGAGCAACATCTGCCCGGTGATCCACAAAACATATTGCATGTGACAAACAGTCAAGCAAGTTAATGTTTCCGACATTTTCGGACTACTAAACAACTATTGATTTATAACCACAGAGAGTTACCGCAAGTCGCAAAGAAAACAGCTGACTGCACTATTCCAGCACCATTTCAACTTCAACATCATCTAATCACCTATGTTTAGTCTAATACAGTGACAACTAAAAGATACCAAAAACGATTTAGTCCAATCAACGTAAGCTAAATATGATGTGGCTGTCCATGGTTCTGATTTCTGTGTGTGTGTGTGTGTGTGCGTGCAAGTAGAAAAAACATGTTGACTCACCCTACTTCTAGAGAAACACCAATGCCATCCTCTTTCATGTTGCCTAAACGATCTATGACTCTGTCATATAGTACACGCTTTTGTTTTTTGTTGTCCTAGGCTACCTGGCAAAAATTATTGCTCGCTAGCCTAACTTCCTTTCATGGGCCACGATGTGCCAGGCCAGCTAGTTAACATTAGCCTACTATATCTACCTACATCACAGGAGGCTGCTGAGGGGAGAATGGCTCATAATAATGGCTGGAACAGAGCAAATGGAATGGCATCTAACACCTGGAAACCATGTGTTTGATGTATTTGATACCATTCCACCTATTCTGCTCCAGACATTACCAAAAGCCCGTTCTCCCCAATTAAGGTGCCACCAACCTCCTGTGAGCTACATGTTGAACTTTCATCCTCTCAGGCCAGGGGCACAATGTATGAATTTGTGGTTGGATCAGAATCACCTTTATAATCATTGGCCAGTGCGAAGAATTAAGTAAAACCACAAGTCCAAATCCCTATCTCCATCCATGGCTAATTTAGGAAATCGCTAGCTAGCCACCGGAGGACAACGACACAACAATGTACGTTTTTTCTGTCAATGACAGCCAAATCCAAACTGGCTTCCCTAGACACTTTTTTTTTGTGCACCAGGACCATTCACAGTTGAGCTCACTCAGTTTAGCTCAATGCTGATTGGCTATTATTTGATTTTTTTAAATATCAAGGGAGGCCAAATGCTTGCTTGCTGGCTTCCCTTGCATTCAATGCTACGGGCGGCAACAATGTTATACTCTTTTTGACCAGACAGCATCAGTTAGATGGGCTACATATACGGAAACAGAGGGGCGCTGTTTTGCTCGCTCGGATGCTTTCTCCAGTGAGATACATTCAGCCTCTTGCGAATTGAAGGAAATCAATTATTTTGTATGTTTTTTTCTTTGTAAATTTTTTGGGATCCATGAATATACACCACTGAAACTATGGAAAGAAGGCATGGTGGTGTTTAAGATGAGAAAGGTTACTAAAGTATATTTATGATGAGTCGGGTTGTGTGAAGATTCAGTTTTGGCCTGAATGGATGGTCACGAAAAGGTCAAATGCACTTGATACTTTAATAGAACACATCATTTAAATGTTGTGTAAAGGAATATCAAAGAAGGAATAGGAAACTACAGTAGGAAACAGGTGCAGTGATGTCAACACTTAGTAAATGTGGCCCTAATTTCTAAGTACAAGGCCAACATTCCTCTAGCCTAATCCTAGATCTGTTTGTACGGTCTTGCTAAAAATGCATAATTCCTCACCTCCACAGAGTCCTGTGAGCTGAGGCATGGTCTGAGGCTGATCAGGCTAGCTGCTCCATCCAGGACCTCCCCTAGCTCTCTCAGAAAGACCCCACAGAAGGGCACCACCCTGCAGCCCGGGATGTGGAGGGCACGCGAGACCACCTTCCTGTACTCTGCAGACGTCTCGTGGTGCGCCATGGCATCCTTCAGGGCACGCATGGTCTCGATGTTCGACTGCTCCATGAACTGCCACATCTTTAGCACCTTGCGAGACCTGAAGGGTAGGATGGAGAGATGCAGCTGAGTGAGAATGGAGGTGGGAGGGCCAAAAGTGGACAGTTTAGGAGGCGAAGTTGGAGATGAAGACAGAATGTGGGTGAAAGAAAAATGGTGTGATGTTTATTAACTAAGCAGGAAATGATACTTGAGCAGAGGTAGATGGATCCTAAATATATTTGCAAAAACATAAAATCAAATAATCAAATGTTCCCTTGAAGAATTGGTTCTAGCCCTGCTTCTACCTGAGTCCAGCCAGGAACTCCATGACAGTGTTGTAGTTTCCCATGTTCCAACAGCACCTGGCCACGTGGACCAGACATGAGAACATCTCTCTCTTCTCCTCAATAGAACCTGCTGTCAGAATCATCCATGTCACCCAGGAGCTCACCTGGAAACAGGAAAACGGTTTGAATCTAGAGTCACCTTTGTGCAACAGGACTGTGTTATCCCTCTGAGCTCAAGCCAAGTTATTAGCTCTGGGAGCCAACACAAGTCTTCAGGTCTCAGGCACAGTTACTCGACATATAGGTGGAAAATGTATTCCCCATGTTGAGACACGTCGCAGGTTAGTTATTTCTCTCTCACCTCATTGAATCTTGTGACCAGGTCCTCTACTGCGTTGTGGGGCCTACTGCAGCCAGCCATAAGATTAGTTTGTCCAGGTTGGTGTGTCTGCCCCTGGGGCTGTGGCTGTGGCTGGCCAGGGCCTCCCAGGTCATGGGTGAGGAAGCAGATGTAGTCCAGTGGTAGGATCCGGCTGTAGAGCTGCAGCTCCTGATCCATGAGGACGTAGGCCATCTCCTCCGAGAAACTGACCAGGGGTCGGAGGTCAGACAGCTCCTTATTGACCTCCGTCAGTGGAGCCGCCGGCACCACGCTGGATCCCGCCATGGGGGAGCGCAGCTGGCGCTCTGGGAGGGAGGGAGGGGGTAATAGGGAGGGAGGGGGGTGAAGGAGGAGGGAGGGAAGGGTGAGTCAAGAGGGAGTTAAGAAATGAGTAAAATACTGTAGATTGTTTCTGGACTCCTACATTGACCCTACTGGTAGACACTTCATGTAGAATTGAATCGATCAGATAAGTGTAAGCAATATGGTTATAGCCATAGAAATAGGAATTAGAATACTAATAGTACACTGCTCAAAAAAAGAAAGGGAACACTTAAACAACACAATGTAACTCCAAGTCAATCACACTTCTGTGAAATCAAACTGTCCACTTAGGAAGCAACACTGATTGACAATAAATTTCACATGCTGTTGTGCAAATGGAATAGACAACAGGTAGAAAATATAGGCAATTAGCAAGACACCCCCAATAAAGGACTGTTTTTGCAGGTGGTGACCACAGACCACTTCTCAGTTCCTATGCTTCCTGGCTGATGTTTTGGTCACTTTTGAATGCTGGCGGTGCTTTCACTCGAGTGGTAGCATGAGACGGAGTCTACAACCCACACAAGTGGCTCAGGTAGTGCAGCTCATCCAGGATGGCACATCAATGCGAGCTGTGGCAAGAAGGTTTGCTGTGTCTGTCAGCGTAGTGTCCAGAGCATGGAGGCGCTACCAGGAGACAGGCCAGTACATCAGGAGACGTGGAGGAGGCCGTAGGAGGGCAACAACCCAGCAGCAGGACTGCTACCTCCGCCTTTGTGCAAGGAGGAGCAGGAGGAGCACTGCCACAGCCCTGCAAAATGACCTCCAGCAGGCCACAAATGTGCATGTGTCTGCTCAAACGGTCAGAAACAGACTCCATGAGGGTGGTATGAGGGCCCGACGTCCACAGGTGGGGGTTGTGCTTACAGCCCAACACGGTGCAGGACGTTTGGCATTTCCCAGAGAACACCAAGATTGGCAAATTCGCCACTGGCGCCCTGTGCTCTTCACAGATGAAAGCAGGTTCAAACTGAGCACGTGACAGACGTGACAGAGTCTGGAGACGCCGTGGAGAACGTTCTGCTGCCTGCAACATCCTCCAGCATGACCGGTTTGGCAGTGGGTCAGTCATGGTGTGGGGTGGCATTTCTTTGGGGGGCCGCACAGCCCTCCATGTGCTCGCCAGAGGTAGCCTGACTGCCATTAGGTACCGAGATGAGATCCTCAGACCCCTTGTGAGACCATATGCTGGTGCGGTTGGCCCTGGGTTCCTCCTAATGCAAGACAATGCTAGACCTCATGTGGCTGGAGTGTGTCAGCAGTTCCTGCAAGAGGAAGGCATTGATGCTATGGACTGGCCCGCCCGTTCCCAAGACCTGAATCCAATTGAGCACATCTGGGACATCATGTCTCGCTCCATTCACCAACGCCACGTTGCACCACAGACTGTCCAGGAGTTGGCGGATGCTTTAGTCCAGGTCTGGGAGGAGATCCCTCAGGAGACCATCCGCCACCTCATCAGGAGCATGTCCAGGTGTTGTAGGGAGGTCATACAGGCACGTGGAGGCCACACACACTACTGAGCCTCATTTTGACTTGTTTTAAGGACATTACATCAAAGTTGGATCAGCCTGTAGTGTGGTTTTCCACTTTAATTTTGAGGGTGACTCCAAATACAGACCTCCATGGGTTGATACATTTGATTTCCATTGATAATTTTTGTGTGATTTTGTTGTCAGCACATTCAACTATGTAAAGAAAAAAGTATTTAATAAGATTATTTCATTCATTCAGATCTAGGATGTGTTATTTTAGTGTTCCCTTAATTTGTTTGAGCAGTGTAATTTAATAGGATCTCTATGGTAACAGCTCTATCCTACTCTCTGATAAGACAGGTAGTATTTTAACCACATTTGATTAATAGACATTTCATATGATTTATTATGTAAGTTGATTTGATTCAATACTTCATCAACTTGAATTTAATAAGATTCATATTAGTTATGGGACCTTTCAGGACAGCCCAGCCCAAGGGACTTGTGGTGATACAGGGAGGAGAGAAGTCGTTGTCTCCCGTGTTGCCGATGGACAGAACCACTTCCAGGAGGGTCCCTGAGATATAGGCAGAAATGTCAGTCCTCTGTAGGGTTGCTCGGTAGCTACACACCCCTCCTCCTCCCGGCCATGGCAATGTGGCCCTCTTGCGACACAGATCCCTCCTCTCGGCAGACAACAGAAGCTTCCTGGAAGACAGGAGTAGAGCTCCTGAACTGGCCACCCTTACTTCAGAACTCAGGGCATGGCATGCCTGGGAAGACAGAGGAAGATACAGGGTCGCGTTCAGCAAGGCACACTGTAGAAAAACGTTTTGTAACAGAAAACAATTATCTGTGTTCTCCTTGGACAAGTTCAGGTGGAAGTCACTAAGTTATAAAACCTTTTCTCCCTACTGAACACGACCCAGGTATCTCATCACCTAATCACACCACAGGAGGCTGGTGAGGGGAGGATGGCTCATAATAATGGCTGAAATGGAGTGAATGGAGTGGTATCAAACATGGAAACCATGTGTTTGATACCATTCCATTCATTCCGTTCCAATCATTACTATGAGCCTGTCATCCCCAATTAAGGTGCCACCAGCCCCCTTGAGAATTACAAACGTACAAGACATGCAGTAGCCTTTCTCATAAAAGGTGCTATTATAACACGGTCTCTCAGTGTGTGTCTCTGTCTGAGTCTGTGTGTGTGTTATGTAAAGAATCAGGCATAGCCTCTTGTAAATTATTTGTATTCCATTTTCCGACTGACATAAATCTATCTGAAGTGTCTGTGTGCCTCTGAGAGTCAACTTGGCAGTTATTCTCAGTCTAATATCAATACATTGGAGTTTGCCTAATGCATTTGCTTGAGCATTAAAACAGTGCTGTGAAAATGAGGGTTGTGATATAAACAAAGATGCTCGGTCTGATCTGTGTATCCGACAATAAAATATTTAGACTCTCACATTGTAGCATTGTGGCATGTTAGTTGTTGGTAAACCCTCTGAACCTGGGAAGATGGTATTTTTGATGTTATTTCTTGTTTTATAAGGATCTGAACTTTGGGATCTTCTGTCTGTAAATCTCTTGTTTTATAAGGATGTTCTCAGCTATCCAGGATTAAAGTTTGGGGCCCCTGAAAGGGCGTCCGTGGTGCAACCCATTCCCCACCGTACCACCAACACCCCTCCCCAGGACTTCTGTTTCTGTTGGCCAGTGTAGGGAGAGAGGAGAGAGAGGAGACAGGGAAGTGTATCCAGCTGGCAGAGCCTAACAGACAATGTGCTTTAGCTAAACCAAATATTTACTCCTTGGAGTCGAATATTCAGAAATTATATTCACATCATCACCGCACTTTAACCTCCTTCGATTCCTTTAAAGGGTAGGGAACCCCCCCCACACACACACACACACACACACACTACCAGTCAAAAGTTTGGACACACCTATTCATTCAAGGTGCTTCTTTATTTTACTATTTTTTTACATTGTAGAATAATAGTGAAGACATCAAAACACAAATGGAATCATGTAGTAACCAAAAAAGTGTTAAACAAATCAAAATATATTTTATATTAGAGATTCTTCAAATAGCCACCCTTTGCCTTGATGACAACGTTGCACACTCTTGGCAAAGCTGTCATGGTAGAAGAAGCATTCTTAGTATTTGCATCTACCAGTCGGACTGGTCCAGTCCATTTATTTTACATCAGAGCAGATGAAGGCAGGAGATGAGGAGAGGAAGCCTTGGTTATTGAGTGTTGTTGTTATACTGTATGTGGTTTTGTACATTTGTAAAGTTTCAATATAAAAAAAGATATAGTAAGTTGTAGGACTATATCCCATTCAGCTTGTTGCTAGTATTGTACAATGATTTGTAGGCCTAAACCAATAATACAAATTGTTATCTGTCAAATAGTAATAACTGTTTATTACCACCTGTACACTAAACTGTCTATCAACAACTGATAAGCTCTTTACGACCCCTTTAGAAATGATAAATTAATGTTAAGTGTTACTCAAATACCTTTCATGTATGGCTTAAATCTCATGTGTTCTATCTGTTTAAATGAAATTAAACAGAAACCACATGTTTAGTCTAGTGGGACGAGAGAGAACACACTAACACATTTCATCTTGATGTTCTGGTGCTGTTCGGGCAATTTAAAGTATTAATTGGGGACTTATTTGTGGAGGAATGTAACTGTTTTTCTGGGTGATTTGTAATGTTTATTTGTGCTTACCATGACTGTGTTTTTGTATTTTAAATGTGTAAATACAGTATACACAGTACCCGTCAGAAGTTTGGACACACCTACTCATTCAAGGGTTCTTCTTTCTTTTTACTATTTTCTACATTGTAGAATAATAGTGATGACATCAAAACTATGAAATAACACATATGGAATCATGTAGTAACCAAAAAAGTGTTTAAAAAATCAAATATATTATATATTTGAGATTCTTCAAAGCAGCCACCCTTTGCCTTGATGACAGCTTTGCACACTCTTGGCATTCTCTCAACCAGCTTCATGAGGTAGTCACCTGGAATGCATTTCAATTAACAGGTGTGCCTTGTTAAAAGTTAATTTGTGGAATTTCTTTCTTCTTAATGCGTTTGAGCCAATCAGTTGTGTTGTGACAAGGTAGGGGTGGTATACAGAAGATAGCCTTATTTGGTAAAAGACCAAGTCCATATTATGGCAAGAACAGCTCAAATAAGCAAAGAGAAACGACAGTCCATCATTACTTTAAGACATGAAGGTCAGTCAATCCGGAAAATTTCAAGAACTTTGAAAGTTTCTTCAAGTGCAGTCGCAAAAACCATCAAGTGCTATGATGAAACTGGCTCTCATGAGGACTGCCACAGGAAAAGAAGACCAGAGTTACCTCTGCTGCAGAGGATAAGTTCATTAGTGTTAACTGCACCTCAGATTGCAGCCCAAATAAATGCTTCACAGAGTTCAAGTAACAGACACATCTTAACATCAGACCGCGTGAATCAGGCCTTCATGGTCGAATTGCTGCAAAGAAACCACTACTAAAGGACATCAATAAGAAAAAGAGACTTGCTTGGGCCAAGAAACACGAGCAATGGACATTAGACTGGTGGAAATCTGTCCTTTGGTCTGATGAGTCCAAATTTGAGATTTTTGGTTCCAACCACGTGTTTGTGAGACACAGCGGAGTAGGTGAACGGATGATCTCCGCATGTGTGGTTCCCACCGTGAAGCATGGAGGAGGTGTGATGGTGTGCTTTGCTGGTGACACTGTCTGTGATTTATTTAGAATTCAAGGCACACTTAACCAGCATGGCTACCACAGCATTCTACAGTGATACGCCATCCCATCTGGTTTGGGCTTAGTGGGACTATCATTTGTTTTTCAACAGGACAATGATCCCAAACACACCTCCAGGCTGTGTAAGGGCTATTTTACCAAGGAGAGTGATGGAGTGCTGCATCAGATGACCTGGCCTCCACAATCACCTGACCTCAACCCAATTGAGATGGTTTGGGATGAGTTGGACCGCAGAGTGAAGGATATGTGGGAACTCCTTCAAGACTGTTGGAAAAGCATTCCTCATGAAGCTGGTTGAGAGAATGCCAAGAGTGTGCAAAGCTGTCATCAAGGCAAAGGGTGGCTATTTTGAAGAATCTAAAATATATTTTGATTTGTTTAACACTTTTTTGGTTTCTACAATGTAGAAAATAGTACAAATAAAGAAAAAACCTTTAATGGGCACATTTGTAAAAGAGACCAAGGTCTCAATATGTCTTAAATAAAAATAAAACAATTGGTCAAACTGTGTAAGGTTGCTGCAGATGTTGGCCATGGACCTGATACACTTAATCCATATGTGTACAGTCTATACATTGGCTAGAAACTATTCTGCCATATTACACCAAACCAGGGATACACATCCCTCTGCAATATAATCTTGTTATGGTTTTTGGTATCACTTCAGCCATCCATAGAGCCTTCAATAGACTCTAATACTGCAGCACTTGTCACAAGGATGCATAAATATTCTGTACTGTATGTTTGTAATGAAACTACCTGAAATTATAGTTGTGCCACAAGATCATGTATGGAACCCTTGTAACACTATAAGATATACTGTCACAAGCAACATTCTGCCTGTCTTGTAGGGTTTTACAAAACAGTTGATCAGAATCAAGATGTCTGAAGACCGACAAATAGGACCCACATTTACCATCAGGAACACAATCATACTCTACCTTGAGCGATCACCACTGATACGAATAACTAAGATGATAGTATGCATGGTTTGATAGAAATGTTAGTTAAGTACTAGTGTTACTGCTTTCATTGAATAAACCATCTGAATGACAGAGAAAATATATTTTGACTTACGTTAGAAGATCATGCCTAATGTAATACAGCCTCCAAAATTAGAGAAAGTCAATCAATCTGCAATAGCAGTGTCATGTCCATATGTTCCAGTTTGTAGTGATTGCAAGAGATAGGGAGAGAGATATGTTTGAGACAGAAGAGAAAGAGAATGTCTGAAACCTAAGAGGAGGGAGGGAGCAAAATTAGAGAGAGAGAGAGAAAGAGAGAGAGAGACAGCTCCCCTTATATGGTTAGGGAGACTTGACATCTGTAAGAGGAGTTATTAGAAGAACATGACCTTTATATATAAAACACATCACTGTTGCTCATCTCCTACTCTAACCACAGCAGTTTGGGTGATGCGTGAAAATCTCTTTACTGTGTAAACAAAGCCTTATGCTATCATGTCAGCAGTGAGTGCACTCAAGAGAAGACACACACAGGACACACGAAAATCACTCCTCAGTCTAAAGTGTCCCCCAAAAGCTAGCTTTTCCGTGGTGCGGAAGACGCATCAGGAGGGTGGTCACGTGTGTTAGCAAGGCAGAGGTCCTGGGTTCGAGCCTTGGTATGAGCCGAATCAGGAGGAAGCGGTACTCGCTAAGCAAGCAGCGTGACATCCTTTACACACACACAGTTACCAATCACAATTGTTTATTCAATTACCATGTCTGCTATTTTCAATGGCAATGTTTTCCCTTCATGAACTGAATTTCCCCCCTGAAATTCCCTGAATTGTCTTCAACCCTGACCCACACTAATGAGTTCAGTCAACCTTGAAATGACCTCTTTTAACCCTGATCACTGATTACAGAAACAGATTCTGGTATTATTTTCTACAGAAATGACTTAACAAGGATCTTAAAGTCTTATTTTCTGCTGAGACCACAGTGGTTCAGTACAAATACCTATTGTACAACAACAGTTGCAGTTAATTTCATGTCTTCGGCTGTCAGTTTAATCGACCATGGAATTTATTTTCAAAAGGAGAGCAATTAATTTACCCTAATTCATATAATAAAGTATTTATTAAAGACTATGATTTATTGATAAGTTGAATCAGGTGTGTTATTGCTTGGACGAGCAAACATCAGTGTTTTCCAGATTAGTTTGGACACTTCTCTGTGCCAAGGGTTTACGTGAGCAGTACCAATATATAGCAAACCACTAGGTGGCAGTCTAATCCACTGTATTATTACCAGCAGCGTACAGTCTATTGCCGCTGCAGAATTAGTACTGAATGAGGTCTGCAGTTCATTCTCCGAGGCTTACTGACTTCTAAAGGGGCACTCTGTGATTGGTAAATACTTTTAAAAAACGTTTGTCTCCAAAAGTGGCAGGGGACCCACTTTGTTGTTGTTTGAATCCCAGACTAGGCTGCATCATAACCCCCTCTGAGGTCATACCACTCCTCATTCCCCTTTATAGGAATGTACTCATAAACTCGTTATTGTGTTGGACCACTGTACACACTGTCCTGTTTTAACAACTTTACATAAAACATTGATTGAGAATAAAACATAATAAAGGCCAAGGCATTTTTCCATTGGGGTCCTGGGAAAATATATTTCTTAAAAGTCAACACAGACATCACCATCCTTTCATGATTCCTGGTGAAGGTGTAAAGAGAACTGAAGACAGACCATCCCCGTTATCCCCTCAGTTCTATCATCCTTATCTGACAGGTCTTTCTTTCAATAGGCTGTGACTGTTTTCACCTGCTCTGGGTCTACCTGCCAAACAATTCCCACAGGTTGGAGCTATAAGTAGGCAAGTTATTCCTTTCATTTCTCCTGAAGTTTGTAGTTTTTGACTCGGCAGCCCCTTAAAAATAAACTCTGGAGTGTGAGTGCTTTGTTTTCCACTGACTGTATTTGTTTCGCATGGTTGAGATTGTAACCATCTGCCAAGTGATTGTGATGTAATGGTGTAGCCTAACTTTTCCATTGGGTGTGTAACCACTAGAGCAGAGCAGCAAGCCCAGACCCTCTAGCAGCGTCTCAAATGGCCCCCTATTGCCTTTATAGTGCACTACTTTTGACCATAAGGCTCTGGTCAAAAGTAGTGCACTATATAGGGAATAAGGTGCCATTTGAGACGCACCCTCTATAATACAGGCCTCTAGTGTTCTACTTAACTTAACCACCCCTCCCCTCCGCTCTCATACCCGGCTGCCCCAACCCTCATTTCCACTGCAGCTCGGTGAGTTTTGGCTGCAGGTTGGCATTTATTGGGATGACATGTACTGGAGTCAGCTCTGCAGGCTGGTCACTAACTGGCACAACTACAAAGTCATGCAATCAGATTTGAAACCTACCCCTAACCTTAAGCAAACTGCTAACCTTATGCCTAACCCTAACCTTAAATTAAGACCAAAAAGGCAACAACAAAAAAATGCATAAATGTTTACGATATATAGCCAATTTTTACATTGCCACTGGCCCATCTAATGGAAATCACTCAGCTATGCCTCCAGGACAAGATTCATCCCAAAATACGTCAACCTGAGTTTTGACTCACACCACATACTGTAGCACTGTATCCGTTTTTTTTTTAACACACATTTCCTTTCTGAGACACGCTGTGTATGTGTGTGTGTGGTCTAGGTATGTGTAGTCCAGTGTAGTCTAGGGATTTCCCAAAGTAGTTTTAAACAAAAAGTGACACAGTTTTGCTCAATGGGACCATTAAAGCCAACTGTGTGTATGCTCTTACCTCAAAAAACATGTCTCCTGTTTTTCCAAGGAGAGGTTTACACACTTGCAGATGTAGACTCTGAGAGGTTGAACTGTGTCCACTGTATCCACTCAATCGGCTGTATCCACCAGAAGTTTGGTGGTCCTCCTCATCCCACAGCTGGAGGGGCACCCTTCCGCAGACAGCGTCCCAAGCCTCCTCACCGATCCTCCCGGTGGGTAACGTCCTGATGATAGCCCTGGTTCCTGTACACACCGACTTCTTCACCCTCTGGTTATCCCTCAAGAACCTACGGACCAGGACCGTCGAACGCTCCTGCTTATTATATAAAAAGTCATCCTCAGTCTCGTTGTCAAATCCTAACCCATTGTCTGAGGCCATCTTTAAAGCCATGGGGCTTTTGGGAGGGCTGGTGGGAAGGAGTGCCAGTGTAGTTTGGGCTTTGCCCCCTGGGCTGATGAGCCCATCATCTCTGAGTCTGGCAAAGCTGGTGTCGGCGACTGTTGATGATGTCATCTCCTCCACCAGACAGAAGGCGAAGCTGTCCGTAGTGACTCTGGGGGAAGATGGCACTGAGGACATTGAGGATGCTGAGCCTGACACCTTGCCCCCTACAGCCTCCTTGCCTCTATTATATCCTAAGGAGGTACCAGAGTAGAGCAAGCCCTGAAACCAGTACTTGTTCCTCTATCTTGCTGGCCGGCCGGCCTGTCTGTGTCTTCCTCCTTGTCGGTATTCAGAAACGTCAGACCATCTAGAAACAGAGGTGGGTGCAGGTGAAGTCCACAACAGCTGTGAAAACCAGGAGAGTGAAAGTATTTTGTCAAAGCTGCATGTTGTTCAGGAGATGTGTCCCTCTGTGCACACTTAGAGATTGACTTTGCTGCCGTGCCAGCCAGGCAGGCACACCCCTCGTAAATCTGCATGAGACAGCAGGAAAACCCAAGTTAGATATAAAATGTCACTGGATACAATGCACCATGACGTGTGAAAGGGAAGCAATCAGTATTCCCTTCACTTTCCCTGCCTATGGCAAAACAAAGTGAGAAAACATTAAGACCATATTATGGAGGTAACTGTAACAGAACTCTATGCAGTGACCTACTGTACGTGCATTAAAGCTTCTAAAGTGGTGAATGAAAAATTGTTAAGAGAGTATTGTACCCCATTCTCTTCTGCTACAATAGCCTATCACAATGTAAAAACCCTGCATTATCAAAGGTCTGTTTGCATGGGATTGTCACATGAAAACCTTATTAGAATAATTGAAAGTCACAAGACTTTTCAGCCTGTGATCTTGTTGAAGGATTAGGTTTTCCTTACCTTAGTGTGAAAAGCTGTCTTTTGCCTCTCTAGATTCAGTTCCAGTTCCTTCTCTATTCACAGTATAAGAGGGGGACTGGGAGGAGAGGAAAAGAGAGGGATCTGGGAAGAGGGGGAAAGAGAGAAAGGCGCGAGTCACAGAAACAGGGCTCTACTTGGCAGGAGCTTTTTTCTGTGTTCCTCCTTTTTTATTCTCACAGCTCACTGTGTTGTTTCACACTGGACAGGACCTAATGTTAATACCTTCACAGCGTTTAAAGTGGCAGTCACTTAAATAGACTTGCTTTTGTACTCCCTTCTATTCAATATGAACTTTGTACCATCAGGTCAATATGGGTTTACAATCAATCATGAGTTGCTTGCTCATTCAGAAAGTAAACACACAAAATATGGTAAGGTTAAGATTAGGCTACTGCAACACATGCCTACTTTTCAATTACCTTATTTGACTATTTTAGCAGATTAGATTTGAGCAGATTTCTAAAGTCATTAAATAGTACCTCTTTGATTTTGAAGAACATGACATTTGATTGGTACAAATGCCTTAACTTATCATAACAAAAAAGCATGAAACCAGAGGTTTGAAACCATTCCGTCTCTGATTAAACAACTGGATGACTGTTTCTGTGGTCTTGCAGCAAACTCTGTATAATGGCGCCTCCAGTTGGAATGGATTAGTCATTACATGTGAAATGGTTTGATTCCTCCTGCATTATCACACCGTAGAATTCGCGGAAGAAGGAAATGTCTCTGAAACCGACTGGGGTCACGTTTTGCACGAATTACATGAAGACAATATCAATATTGATGGATTTGGACAACAATGTATCTGATAACTGACAGGTAATCCAAATGAAATGGAGCGAGTAACAATTTTCTAACCAATTCATGAATAACGCGTTTGTAGTTAGGCTAATGTGCTACCAACTAGCTAGTAGCATTCACTTTGATAATGATCACATCTAGCTATACTTTTGTCCCTTCAATGATTTGATAAATGATTAGGGGTTTCTCTCAGAAAATGATATTCCCTAATTACTTGGATTATGTGGTGTTTTCCTGAATTGTTGTTCAACCCAATGTAAATTAGCCGCACATGCGTCGGTTTTGTCAAGGATAGAGGGACCGCTTCTGTGGATGCGCGGTAAAATGGGTTTGACATTATTTTTATGGCATTTGTATTTCGAAAATATTCCAGGGTCTCGAAGGAAGCCAACATTCCATAAGTATACCCATATCTCTAGTAATTTTATAGTTTGCCAAATGTCATAACTTCTTCATTCAAAATCATGTTTTAATGATAACATTTCAGGGGGAATTACATTTTATTCCAATGAAATTACCTCCATTGTTTTGCCACTACCACCTAGCTAGCGATCTATGTTACTCTCCTGTAAAATGGAGCCAATACCCTCTTTTTTTCTCTCTCTCTTTCTATCATGTTGTAGCCTATAAATCCAGGACTTGTTGAGAAGAACCCCCATCCTTTACAATGTTCCTCACCATGGCCCTGCTGAGGAAAGGCATCTCTGGGAAGCAGTGGATCGGGAAGTACCGCCGGCCGCGTGCCATCACCTGGCAGATGAAACGCAACATGCTGGTGCACTTGGAACGCGAGGCAGAGAATGAGTACTGGGTCTCCCGACCATACATGACCACAGAGCAGGAGCGAGGACACGCCGCTGAGCGGCGAGCACAGAAATGGCTCAAAATTAAGGAGACTAAGTTTCAAAAGTTTCCAGAACATAAATATGTTGTTGATCATCTAAGTCACCTCAACACAACCAAGACATGGTCCAGTTAATGAGGAGGAAGTATTGACTTTGTGTGGGGGGTTGGAGAGGTGACATGCATGTTGACTCCGGTGTCTTAATGTATATGAACAATGGAATGTTGGAAATTATCTTTATAAAGCAAGCTCTGATTTGAAAAGAACCTGTTCTTTGCTTCATAATACATGTCAAACAGTCTTGTGCATACATCAGTGGGTCTCAAACCTCTCCTCTGGTACCCCCAGATGTTTCACAATTATGTGGGAGGCCTGAACTAGTGTAAACTATGCCATGCTGCTTAGTGTGCCGCTTCCTCCTGATTCAGGTCAAACCCAGCACCTCTGCCTCGCAAACATGTCTGCCCCCCTGAAGCGTCTTACCCAGTCGTGGCAGCGCAAGTGGAGACACTTCAGGCTGAGGAGTGAGTTTCCAGCTACACTAACTCATGTGATTCACCTATTAAAGGTTTTGATGATTAGTTGACAAGTTGAATCAGGTGTGCTAGCTCTGGAATAGTTGAAGTAGCCTACATGGAATGGCTGGGTGTCCCGAGGAGAGGTTGGAGAACCACTGGCATACGTGACCTGATGATGATCGTTCAGAATGTGTTTTAACAGTTTAGGATGCAAATAGGCCCACAACTTGTACAAAACAGGCCCATTTCACTCTCAAAAGTGTTCTAGTGCAGAGTTTCCCAAACTCGGTCCTGGGGCCCCACTGGGTGCACGTTTAGGTGTTTTGCCCTAGCACGACACAGCTGATTCAAATAACCAACATCAAGCTTTGATTATTTAAATCAGCTGTGTAGTGCTAGGTCATAAACCAAAACGTGCACTGGGGGTCAGGACCGAGTTTGGGAAACCCTTTTCTAGTGGATGTATAATATGGTTATTTCATGATGTTATACCATATATCAGTGGTTCTCAAACCTCTCCTCAGGGATCCCCAGACGTTTGACAATTTTGGTGCAGCTCTGAATTGGCTCAACGAACTCGCCTAGTCAAGTAGAATTAGGTGCGCTATCTCTGGAATAGATCAAATACATGGAACGGCTGGGGATCCCGGAGGAGAGGGTTCAGAACCACTGCCATATATCAGCGGCAGATGGCGCTCGGAGTTTGAATGAAGACCCACAAAAGCCCGTGTACCACCAGTCAGGCGCGCCGCTGCGCTCAAACAAATGCGGAGGAGAATTCCCTAAAAGCGCGTCGCAACGTGCTGTAGGCGCTTCATTCGACGCACAGGCTTGCTCAACAGGGGAAGCGCAGCCAGCGACTGTGAAGTCTTTGTAACAGCAGTAGTAGCTATAGACGATACCTTTATCTAAAGCTCACTCACTCGGTACAGATAAAAGGGACCATGAAGACAGACGACTGGAGTTATCGTTTTGCGGACAGCATCCCACCCCACCGACCGCTTTACACACGGACGACTGAATGACGAGCCAGGATGGCCGGAGGAAGGAGAGGACTTGTAGCCCCTCAAAACACTTTTTTAGAAAATATTGTCAGACGATCTAACGGTAAGGATCATGCTCCAATGAGATGTGCTATGCCTATGATAATTATCTTGAGAATGGAGTAGACCTAAAAAAAACTTTTATGTTTGGGTTTTAAATCATCGATGAAGCCTACCCTCTTTGGCGTGTAAAAACGCATACGAATGGCTAGGATCGAAAAACTGCGCGATCTTTCTCCCTAAACGTCGTCGTGACTTGGAATCTTCAGAATAACCATAACACAAAAGGAAACAATTTCCATATCCTTTCCAAACGTCTGTACTTAGTAAAAGTTGTATGGTAATCAATGAACTTATCAAATGGGATACAATTACTAGGGTATTTGTCAGGCACATCTATTTTTTTAGTCAGGCTTGGGCACATCCCATCTCCAGAAAGTCGCTTCTTATTTTATCTTATGTGCGATCTTACTACCATGGAATCAGCAGCAACGCACAATTTGGTAAATTATGCAGCCTAAAAATAGCCTAGGCTATTTGTCGGTAGTCTGCCTATAAAGTAAAAGAAAATACATCTTGAATAAACACATTTTATATACTTCATAAATTAGAATGTATGATTAAATTACACTTTAAAGTTGTTTGGCCTGTTGGCTGGTTAAACTATACTATCTGCTTATATCGTTTTGAGAAAATAAACCCAAAGAATAGGCTCTCTGTTCCATCCTCTTTATTGGTGTGGCTTTGGGGCGGCAGGTAGCTTAGTGGTTAAGAGCGTTGTGCCAGTAACCGAAAGGTCACTGGTTCTAATCCCCGAGCCGACTAGGTGAAAAATCTGTCGATGTGCCCTTGAGCAAGGCACTTAACCCTAATCGCTCCTGTAAGTCGCTCTGGATAAGAGCTTCTGCTAAATGACTAAAATGTAAATGAGAGGATGGATATAGTCGTTGTTCTCAACATGTAATCCAACCGATATAAACAGGCCCCCATACAAACCATTTCTGTATGGACCTCACTTTGTGCACGGGGGCATTGTCATGATGAAACAGGAAAGGGCCTTCCCCAAACTGTTGCCACATAGTTGGAAGGACAGAATCGTCTAGAATGTCATTGTATGCTGTAGCATTAAGATCTCCCTTCACTGGAACTAAGGGGCCTAGCCCGAACCATGAAAAACAGCCCAAGACCATTATTCCTCCTCCACCAAACAGTTGGCACTATGCATTGGGGCAGGTAGCGTTCTCCTGGCGTCTGCGAAACCCAGATTCATTCATTGGACTGCCAGATGGTGAAGCGTGATTCATCATTCCAGAGAACGCGTTTCCACTGCTCCAGAGCCCAATGGCGGCAAGCTTTACACCTCTCCAGCTGACACTTGGCATTGCGCATGGTCATTTTAGGATTGTGTGCAGCTGCTCGGCCATGGAAACCCATTTCATGAAGCTCCCGACGAACAGTTATTGTGCTGATGTTGCTTCCGAGGCAGTTTGGAACTCGGTAGTGAATGTTGAAACCGAGGACATATGATTTTTATGTGCTTCAGCACTCGGCGGTCCCCTTCTGTGAGCTTGTGTGGCCTACCACTTCACAGCTGAGCCGTTGTTGCTCCTAGACGTTTCCACCTCACAATAACAGCACTTAGTTGACCGGGGCAGCTCTAGCATGGCAGAAACTTGACGAACTGACTTGTTGGAAAGGTGGCGGCGCCACATTGAAAGTCACTGAGCTCTTCAGTATGGGTCATTCTACTGCCACTGTTTGTCTATGGAGATTGCATGGCTGTGTGCTTAATTTTATACACCTATCAGCAACGGGTGTGGCTGAAATAGCCAAATCCACTAATTTGAAGGGGTGTCCACATACTTTTGTGTATATATAGTGTATTTTTTTGCTAGATGTGAAATCTTTAAATCAATGTAATAGCATAGGTACCTTGCTAATTCTCCACTAATACATATTTTGATTAAAATACTTCATTCAATATGAGTAAATGTTATTTGCCACCAACAATTCCATGAAAAAGGAAGAATAGATGTTTAATTTAGCCTCCTTTGTCTTAGTCCAAACAGCATCTGTAGATTAACTGTTTACTTAAATGTTCACTGAAAGTTTGCTTAACTGCATGGTAAGTCAATTCTGCCAAAATACAAACAAAGTACATAGTTATTGGTAGCCTACCAAACTTATGAAAGAAACACAAATTAGTAGGACAGGTGTAGGTGGGCTGGAAGGACACATCCATATCCAATGAGTCAGCAAGGCGGGGTCAGGTGGGTAGGCTACATTACCCATGTGCACTTGCACCATGCCTACTAGTTTGAGGCACACACCAATTTTGGGGACACCCCTCTTACTCATGAGCATCCCTCCTTGGACAATCAACCAATGACCTTCTGTAAAACCAAAATAAACTAATTGAAAGACAGTCCTCAAGCCATTAAAGTTTTCTCCTCGTCAATTAAACACTTTCAGAAAATACTGTTGTCAGCCATTGTTGCCCAACTGTAGTCTATTGGGGTCCCACTGTCTGGTCAGAGATGTGTAGTGGTAACCAATGAGTAGACGCACCAACCAGGGTCCTGTTTATTAGGGCAGCATTACAGTTTGTATAAGTCTAGGTGTACAAGTCCATTTTCTTCTGTTTGGTTCCCTAATGAACAGGACCCTGGATGACGCACGGCAGCCATTATGCACCAAGCTACTCCACACACACCAGTCATAGCAGTGCAGTGCAGGGTAGGGTAGAAGGAGACACATGGCATGGATTAGAGTGGACTCATTGATCGAAGTTCAGGAGGTAGAGTGAACAAGGGCATTAGTATGATGCATTGAGACCGGGTCATAACCCAAGTTGTGTATTTTGCAGTGTCACAAAACATCTCCTTTTAGTTCAAGAGCTCAAAGAACGTGTGTAACTCTATATGTCGACATGTGAAATGTTGGTTGTGGAAAAAGCATTGAAAACATCACTCAAATGAAACGTACCAGTTTGTTTGAAATAAGTTTGTCACTGTTACTTTAACCATTTTTCTTTTCAACTTTTCAGTATGGACATTATCACATAGACAGACAGGTATAAACCCAACCCATGTTTTGTAGTGCTGCTCATGTTTTCCCCCTAATCTCACTCTCTATTAATTCCATGTACTATGTCTGTTGTTCTCTACCAATTGCTGTTAATTTGCAAAGCAAATTAATCCAAGTCTATGACCGGCTTAAAATCCTGGCCTGGGGGGCAGATACCTACTTATTTTTGTCGCCTGTTCTCTTTTCATTTAACATCAACTTCTACTAATTTGGATTCACAGACACTACCCAGCTAAAGTTTCGGAAACGTTCTGTGCTAGCTGGGTAGTAACTGTTTGACTGTTAATTAAATTCCTAGGACCCTTCTTTTTCGTTGGGGCATAGATGACTGATGCTTAGCTACCCATCAGCGACGGCATCCTACTGTTGTTTTTAAAAAAACATTGTAAAATAACAAATGTTGGCATGGAACGTTCTACTTCATAGCACTGTGTTTGTGTCAGTTATGTTACTGTTTGTCTTCAATTATCTTGGTGACGTTTGTAGTTTGGTAGAATAGTGTGTGTAGTTTTGTATTTTCTATTGTTGAGTAGCACATTTAGTTTGTTTTGTTCCCATTCCATGTTGATGACGTGTGACTTTGACACGACAGACAGGACATCATTTTGTTATTTAATATACTACTGCTGCTGCAGCATGCACCTCTTCCATATTGATTTAGTTTAATGGATGCCAGGTTGACTTTATGTACTGGCAGATTACATTTATTTTTTATAACAACAATGTGAATAACATTGTGCAATAGTGGGAGGAATCAACATATAAAAGAACATAAAGCTATATTGTGAGCGAGAGAGAGGTCCCTGTATTCTGTCAGGCGTGTACCTGTGTCTGTCAGTCCCTTAATCTCAGCGCTGACAGGGCAAAAGCCTCCAGAGCGTTAAAGACAAGGAGACCCAACTGAAGCGCACACACATACTGTGCTATATTGTCTTAGTGAGCAATACAGAAGCTATACTATTTGATACAAACTACCAACACAGCAGTTTCAGAAATTTTGTCAATAGAACCATGTTAACAGTATGGAACAAATATAAACTAATTTGGGTACAATCATGTAAACATGTTTTCTCATGGTAATGCTATTTTGCCTTCAGAAATGTATGGTTGCTGTGCAGGTTTGAACAAGGCCCAGAGTACCTGGAGGAATTGACAGTAGCATGTCTTTTTAAAAGCTGCATGGTATGAAATCTTTGTCAGTACAACTCTTGAGGCTTGACATACACTGCTACGTCCTCACTCCTCTCCTATTCCCACTTTCCCCCCTGGATTCTGAGACGTTAACCTACTTTCTACACGTGTGTTGCTTCAGAGGATTGGATTGGAGTGAAGTTAAGTTTCCCTTTGAACATGCAGAATAACAGAGATCAGTGCAGTGCTGTTCATAGGTATTACACCCAACTCGTATTGCGACAGGGATGTAACTACTGCACAGTGGTGTGACGGTACAGTATAGCTCGGACTCTTTCTTCCTTTGTGTGCTGCAGTCAGCAAAGGGTTAAATCTGGATTTTATATATGGTGGAAACTGTCCCTAAGATTAGTGCGTTTTCTATAATCCTTTGTCCTAAATATCCTTACAATTGCCAGTGTATATTCCCTCCCATAAAATATGGTGGAACACAGCAATTAAAACCACATCTGTCTGTGGAGTGTGTGTATAGCCAGGCCTGTTGACTCCAGTTATGTAATACAGTCTATGGTTGAACCTTTAAGGTGCAGACTTTCATCACTCTGTAGCTGCCTGAGTGGCTCCTATGTCAATCATTTGTGAATGGATCAGAAGCCAATTTGATCCTCATCACATTGACTCATGTATTGTTGTCTTTTTAGAGCTTGCTTTCCCCCCCCCCTTCCCAAAAGCAATAATTTATAAAAATGTGATATTATACATGTACTATGTAGCTGCATAGAAACGCCATTGTCAGCATAGAAGTGTACTGTGGTAAACTAAGCTTCAGTGAGTCTGTTTCTGGGACAGGCGTTTCTATGCCGTTCTGTAGTCGTGTATCTGAAGGGGTATTACATTACATAAGGGAAAGAAACAACAAACGATCATATTTTATAATCACCTGCTAGTATTTGTTAACCTTTTGATGTTTACGATCTCACAGAGGTGAGAAATCATCAATTGTACATGTACTGTACCAGGAACACTCAGAGTGGGATTTTGACAGTGCTAAAAATTGTATCATTTTAAATACTCAGCATGATGGCTATCTATTTCAAAACAAATCTACACTGTTTGATTTAAACCCTGCGTGGATTGTCTCTACTTTTGAAATAAATACTGTTGTCTCCAGTGTTGGGAGTGACCTCTCTTTTAACACAATCTGCACATATTTGTTCGGTCAAAATGAAGCCGCAGGTGTCATGCAATGCTTACGTAGGCATTACTACAGTCTTATGTATACCCCTTCAAGCCTAACTGACACTAACCCTCCCCACATGCAGTGCTTACTTACTCAGCATTAAGGGTAAGGATGGTCTGAGACTGAGTACAGTACCCGTATGTGAAGGATCATTCTGCTACTCTGTTTTCACACTGTACTGTAGTGGCTTGCGTCGTGCGATATGACTGTGCTGTCGCCTGTCGATGTCAACCCTGGGTTGGGGTCAACACCATTCCACTTCAGTTTTTTTGGAACTCACTGAAATTCAATTAATGCGTTTTGGATTTCCTTTCCAAATTATGAATCGAATTTCAATTCAGTTCCTCAACTTGACTGTACTGAAATGCAATTGATCCCAATCCTGCCCGCTTCCACTCTTTTCCCCACCCCACGTAATGTGTTGTTCATAACTTTGAGCAATCTCCAACGAGTGAGCCTTACCTCCTCCTCTGTTCCCCCTCATCTTTGACAGATACCAATTTTGTCCTTGGGAATGCTCAGATTGTGGACTGGCCCATCGTCTACAGCAACGATGGCTTCTGCAAGCTGTCGGGGTACCACAGGGCGGAAGTCATGCAGAAGAGCAGCACATGCAGGTACAATACACTGCCTTCCATCTGTTTTGTAGATATCTCATTTATTTAACAGCAACACTGAACAATAATCACCTACATCTCAGAGAACACTGAGGTACAATAGTGCCAGAGTTAGCTTGCTTGTACTTGTTGTTGGTTCTTCTGCTGCTCCAGCTCATTTTACTCCATACTTCCTACATACAGAATTATTTTCAGATACTGTAGATTCAATCACCAGATTCTTTGCTTTGTCGATAGCCTCTTTTACTTCAACCCAACAGCATTTTAAAATGATGCAGAAAAATTACATTGAAAAGAAAAATTGAGTAAAACAAGAGAATCACCTTTCCTTGCCAAACCAAAGCACATACTCTACAGCTAATTCCACTGCGTTTATCCCAGTCAGTAAAAAAATAAGAAACAAAAGCCTATTCAGAATCTCCTATTCAGACTCCGAAGGTGACTTGTTCAATGTCAGCAAGCTCTGCTTGCTCAGCTCTAAACAAAGCCAGATTAGTTGTTATTGTGTGAAAAAGCATGGGTGTTTTCAAAGCTCTTCTTACGCATTTTATAATTGCTGGGATGAAGGTATTATATTCCTTATTTAAGGTACTATTATCCGTTCTTGAAGTTCAAACTGAAGTTGTGAGAACAATAAGCACATCTTCCATATAAAAACAACTGGTAACTTGCCATCAAGACACTTTTCACACTACTGAGCCGAACCAAGCCAAACTGTACTGGGCGGGCCTGGTTACGCACCACCATAGTTGCTCGGACTGTGTTGGGAAGGAGAAGAAAACATCTGAGCCAGCACAGTATTGTTTGGGTCGGCCATATAGTGGGAATCAGAGACAACATTTCGGGAACCTTACGGTAACCTCTGTCTGGCCATTCTAGCTGAGAAGAACCTCGGTCTGAAGCGAACTGTGCCGGCGTGTGATATGTTGAGACATGTTCCTGTCAGGAGAGATGTCAGAAGAAGCTAATAGTCTTTGGGAGCCGTTGGGTCCTCACTCCTCTCGAGCAGCCCCCAAAATAGTCACATTAGAATGACCCTGTCATTCACAATTCAAAGCTAACTGAACTCCACAGAGTTATTTTTAGACACGCTGGAACAGACCGTACCTCGGGATGACTGCAATCAGTGGTGTGAAACCAGTGTGTTAAACCAGAGAGTGTTTTTTTAAAATATATATATATATATATATATATACACACACACACACACACACACACACACACACAGTGGGGAGAACAAGTATTTGATACACTGCCGATTTTGCAGGTTTTCCTACTTACAAAGCATGTAGAGGTCTGTAATTTTTATCATAGGTACACTTCAACTGTGAGAGACGGAATCTAAAACAAACATCCAGAAAATCACATTGTATGATTTTTTAAAAGTAATTAATTTACATTTTATTGCAAGACATAAGTATTTGATACATCAGAAAAGCAGAACTTAATATTTGGTACAGAAACCTTTGTTTGCAATTACAGAGATCATACATTTCCTGTAGGTCTTGACTAGGTTTGCACACACTGCAGCAGGGATTTTGGCCCACTCCTCCATACAGACCTTCTCCAGATCCTTCAGGTTTTGGGGCTGTCGCTGGGCAATACGGACTTTCAGCTCCCTCCAAAGATTTTCTATTGGGTTCAGGTCTGGAGACTGGCTAGGCCACTCCAGGACCTTGACATGCTTCTTACGGAGCCACTCCTTAGTTGCCCTGGCTTTGTGTTTCGGGTCGTTGTCATGCTGGAAGACCCAGCCACGACCCATCTTCAATGCTCTTACTGAGGGAAGGAGGTTGTTGGCCAAGATCTCGCGATACATGGCCCCATCCATCCTCCCCTCAATACGGTGCAGTCGTCCTGTCCCCTTTGCAGAAAAGCATCCCCAAAGAATGATGTTTCCACCTCCCATGCTTCACGGTTGGGATGGTGTTCTTGGGGTAGTACTCATCCTTCTTCTTCCTCCAAACACGGCGAGTGGAGTTTAGACCAAAAAGCTCTTTTTTTTTGTCTCATCAGACCACATGACCTTCTCCCATTCCTCCTCTGGATCATCTAGATGGTCATTGGCAAACTTCAGACGGGCCTGGACATGCGCTGGCTTGAGCAGGGGGACCTTGCGTGCGCTGCAGGATTTTAATCCATGACGGCGTAGTGTGTTACTAATGGTTTTCTTTGAGACTGTGGTCCCAGCTCTCTTCAGGTCATTGACCAGGTCCTGCTGTGTAGTTCTGGGCTGATCCCTCACCTTCCTCATGATCATTGATGCCCCACGAGGTGAGATCTTGCATGGAGCTCCAGACCAAGGGTGATTGACCGTCATCTTGAACTTCTTCCATTTTCTAATAATTGCGGCAACAGTTGTTGCCTTCTCACCAAGCTCCTTGCCTATTGTCCTGTAGCCCATCCCAGCCTTGTGCAGGTCTACAATTTTATCCCTGATGTCCTTACACAGCTCTGTTCTTGGCCATTGTGGAGAGGTTGAAGTCTGTTTGATTGAGTGTGTGGACAGGTGTCTTTTATACAGGTAACGAGTTCAAACAGGTGCAGTTAATACAGGTAATGAGTGGAGAACAGGAGGGCTTCTTAAAGAAAAACTAACAGGTCTGTGAGAGCCAGAATTCTTACTGGTTGGTAGGTGATCAAATACTTATGTCATGCAATAAAATGCAAATTAATTAATTAAAAATCATACAATGTGATTTTCTGGATTTTTGTTTTAGATTCCGTCTCTCACAGTTGAAGTGTACCTATGATAAAAATTACAGACCTCTACATGCTTTGTCAGTAGGAAAACCTGCAAAATCGGCGTGTGTGTATATGTATATATAATATATATATATATACATACACACACACACAAGATTTGGACACACCTACTCATTCAAGGGTTTTTCTTTATTTTTACATTATAGAATAATAGTGAAGATATCAAAACTATGAAATAACACATATGGAATCATGTAGTAACCAAATAAGTGTTAAACAAATCAAAATATATTTTATATTTGAGATTCTTTGCCTTGATGACAGCCTTGCACACTCTTGGCATTTTCTCAACCAGCTTCACCTGGAATGCTTTTCCAACAGTCTTGAAGGAGTTCCCACATATGCTGAGCACCTGTTGGCTGCTTTTCCTTCACTCTGCCGTCCGACTCATCACAAACCATCTCAATTGGGTTCTGGTCGGGGAATTGTGGAGGCCAGGTCATTTGATGCAGCACTCCATCACTCTCATTCTTGGTCAAATAGCCCTTACACAGCCTGGGGGTGTGTTGGGTTATTGTCCTGTTGAAAAACAAATGATAGACCCACTAAGCGCAAACCAGATGGGATGGCGTATCGCTGCAGAATGCTGTGGTAGCCATGCTGGTTAAGTGTGCCTTGAATTCTAAATAAATCAGTTTTTTTGTGCCTCTCATATGGCATGACCTCAAAGTCCTTAAAGAGGGCCTTTTTACTGAAGAATGTATTCATTTCATATGATTGTGTTTTGCTTTTCATGTATAGTTTGACGTGTAGATATGTATAGTATATTTTTTTATTGCGGTGTTCATGCAGGGCTCATCTGCAAAAGAGACCGTGGTCTCTGCATGGTTCCCTGCTTAAATAAAGGTTAAATATAATAATAATAATAATAATAATATAATATGCCATTTAGCAGACGCTTTTATCCAAAGCGACTTACAGTCATGCGTGCATACATTTTTTTATTTTTTTTTGTGTATGGGTGGTCCCGGGGATCGAACCCACTACCTTGGCGTTATAAGCGCCGTGCTCTACCAGCTGAGCTACAGAGGACCACATAAAATAGTGTGTGTTGCTACAGAGCTGATAGTTGGCTGGCTGATCTTTACTGTACCTTTCTTGGAAAGAAACTCTGGCCCTCTGTGTAGTTTCATGATCAGTGTGCCACCTGTGTGTTGCTGTAAACAGTTTTCTCCATGCACCTGGTAATGCGATAGGTGTGTGAGTTACAGTACCTTTTCCCCATGTTAACTGTGTCTTTTAAGATGGATATTTTGTGCATCGGAGAGTAGAAATGGATCAGTGTGCCAACGAAGGCCCTAAGATAATTGTTTCACTGTCCATTTCACATCATAAAGCCCTTAACCTTAACTAGTTGAATCAGGTGTGTTAGTGGTGGAACCCATCTAATACAGATGTGGTCATTTAATTTGACTCTACATTCTTTGGCGGCAGCACCTCTGGGACCAGCAGGCGTTTCACACGATCAATTCCACCTCTAGCGCCTGAGTCTAACAAATTAACCAACACATTAGTTGTTTAATCATCAAGCCCTTGACTAGTTGAATCAGATGGGCTCGACCAGATCTAATAGGTGAAACGTCCAGAGGACTAGCCGGTGTCTTATAACACTTCTTTAGGTGAGAATCAAGCCAATCTCTGTGTGCCACACCTCTCTGCCCCCACTGGTGTAATCTGGGATGGATCTGGGATTTGACTCGCTGATGTTGAGTCACTGTGAGGCTGAGGGACGGAAGTGTGTGTGTGTGTGTGTGTGTCTCGGAAGAGTCCCCTGACGGTGTCATCTCTGTTAGCAAGCTTACTGACTGACAGCCCATTCGGCCCACAGGGACAGACCTGTAAGGTGGGGAGAAAGTTTAGGCAATGAACACTACCAGAGGGAGGGAGGGGGCAAGAGTAATAGACAGACAGAGACACACACACACACAGAGAGACACAGGTAAGAGTTAGAGCGAGGGAGTAATAGACAGAGAAGATATCAGATTATGACATTGTTTGTGCATCATAAGAAACATTGGTAAGTACACTTAACACACCCTGTTGTCCTCCTCAGTAAGGCAGTTCAAAAGATTGACTACATTTACACAGACAACAACATTCATGGGCTAACAGCCTCATTTGACTGTTTCGCTCTAACTAACCCACTAACATATCTACACACTTGTTTTTAATGCTTTTTGTCATAAAAAAATGTACACACTGTTTTGTGTTTTCTAGCTTCATGTACGGGGAGCTCACAGACAAGGATACTAGCGAGAAAGTACGGCTAACGTTCGAGAACTACGAGATGAATTCATTTGAAATACTCATGTATAAAAAGAACAGTAAGTACCAATTGAATAACATTTAAAAAACAGCCTCATCATGTAAATGTATTCAGCCATTTCTTATTTACATATGTACTTATGAATATGTACAATGATGTTCGAACAGCACGAACCCTGTAGATAATTTAATTAATTATTTCTGACGCTGTAGATCAGGGGCCGCATCCATAAAGTGTCAGAGTAGGAGTGCTGCTCTAGGATCCGTTTTCTCGTAGATCATAATGAATCAGTGGGGACCTGATCCTAGATTATCACTCCTACACTGACATGCTTTGTGAATACAGGCCCAGTTATAACTCCCCAAATAAGTTACTGTTGATGGTTGTATTTCCCATTTGACTGATTTTTGTATCAAACAAATACTGCTATAGATAAAGCTATGAATATTCACCAGTGTATGTTCTCTCATCTCAGGAACGCCGGTATGGTTCTTTGTGAAGATAGCCCCAATACGAAACGAACAGGAAAAAGTAGTGCTGTTTCTGTGCACCTTCAGTGATATCACAGCCTTTAAACAGCCAATAGAAGATGAAACCTCGAAAGGTGAGTGACAGAGTTTTTGAGTGGCAGCAGAGGATGTGGTCCCACCTTATTGGATAGTCCCCTATATCAAATCAAATCACATTTTATTTGTCACATACACGTGTTTAGCAGATGTTATAGCAGGTGTAGCGAAATGCTTGTGCTTCTAGCTCCGACAGATACAAATCAGTCTTTATTATAAAAATAACTTTTTAGGGTAGGCTGTGTGTTTTATACTAAAAGTTTTACAAAAAAGTATTATAACATTATTATTATTATAAAAAATGTGTTTTGTCTAAAGCCTTCATCAGGGTGTTGCTTTTTATCGAAACACATTGTTTTATTAATAATAACACTCTGGCTAGTTAATAAGTTCAATCTCTATCTTCTTTTGTAAAACCTATTAGCACACTCATTATCTTCACACAGACCTGTTTGTTTTGTTGCCTCAGGTTGGGGGAAGTTCGCCCGGCTAACTCGTGCTCTGACCAGCAGTAGAGGGGTGTTACAGCAGCTGCAGCCTACTGTACACAGGGGAGAGAACGTCCACAAGCACTCCCGCCTAGCTGAGGTGCGCTAATATTTATGTCTGTGAATGTTTATAACTCTCCTCTCATAAAGCTAGCTAAGGCATGCGTGTGGGTGGGGGAAGATGTGTGAGCTTGTTGCCGTTCCATTTGGCTATGGGTGAGGCATGTGCCCCTGTGCTGTGTATCCATTTGTCTCTGTCCTTTGTGATTACAGAGATGCACTGAAGTGATAACACACATGTACACTGATATACAGTGAGGGGGAAAAAAGTATTTGATCCCCTGCTGATTTTGTACGTTTGCCCACTGACAAAGAAATGATCAGTCTATAATTTTAATGGTAGGTTTATTTGAACAGTGAGAGACAGAATAACAACAACAAAATCCAGAAAAACGCATGTCAAAAATGTTATAAATTGATTTGCATTTTAATGAGGGAAATAAGTATTTGACCCCCTCTCAATCAGAAATGTCTGGCTCCCAGGTGTCTTTTATACAGGTAACGAGCTGAGATTAGGAGCACACTCTTAAAGGGAGCTTGTTACCTGTATAAAAGACACCTGTCCACAGAAGCAATCAATCAATCAGATTCCAAACTCTCCACCATGGCCAGATTGTAGACCTACACAAGGCTGGAATGGGCTACAAGACCATCGCCAAGCAGCTTGGTGAGAAGGTGACAACAGTTGGTGCGATTATTCGCAAATGGAAGAAACAAAGAACTGTCAATCTCCCTCGGCCTGGGGCTCCATGCAAGATCTCACCTCGTGGAGTTGCAATGATCATGAGAACGGTGAGGAATCAGCACAGAACTTCACGGGAGGATCTTGTCAATGATCTCAAGGCAGCTGGGACCATAGTCACCAAGAAAACAATTGGTAACACACTACGCCGTGAAGGACTGAAATCCTGCAGCGCCCGCAAGGTCCCCCTGCTCAAGAAAGCACATATACAGGGCAGTCTGAAGTTTGCCAATGAACATCTGAATGATTCAGAGGAGAACTGGGTGAAAGTGTTGTGATCAGATGAGACCCAAATTGAGCTCTTTGGCATCAACTCAACTCGCCGTGTTTGGAGGAGGAGGAATGCTGCCTATGACCCCAAGAACACCATCCCCACCGTCAAACATGGAGGTGGAAACATTATGCTTTGGGGGTGTTTTTCTGCTAAGGGGACAGGACAACTTCACCGCATCAAAGGGACGATGGACGGGGCCATGTACCGTCAAATCTTGGGTGAGAACCTCCTTCCCTCAGCCAGGGCATTGAAAATGGGTCGTGGATGGGTATTCCAGCATGACAATGACCCAAAACACATGGCCAAGGCAACAAAGGAGTGGCTCAAGAAGAAGCACATTAAGGTCCTGGAGTGGCCTAGCCAGTCTACAGACCTTAATCCCATAGAAAATCTGTGGAGGGAGCTGAAGGTTCGAGTTGCCAAACGTCAGCCTCGAAACCTTTAATGACTTGGAGAAGATCTGTAAAGAGGAGTGGAACAAAATCCCTCCTGAGATGTGTGCAAACCTGGTGGCCAACTACAAGAAACGTCTGACCTCTGATTGCCAACAAGGGTTTTGCCACCAAGTACTAAGTCATGTTTTGCAGAGGGGTCAAATACTTATTTCCCTCATTAAAATGCAAATCAATGTATAAAATTTTTGACATGCGTTTTTCTGGATTTTTGTTGTTGTTATTCTGTCTCTCACTGTTCAAATAAACCTACCATTAAAATTATAGACTGATCATTTCTTTGTCAGTGGGCAAACGTACAAAATCAGCAGGGGATCAAATACTTTTTTCCCTATTTGTGTGTGTATATGTAACAATCTGTAAGCAACCTTTTAAGTGAACTGTAACCTCTCGGTTTACCCCAAACCCTTCTTTGATTTTATTCCATCAAACTCATCAAAGATATACAATCTGCAGGTCCTCCAGCTGGGCTCAGACATCCTCCCCCAGTACAAGCAGGAGACGCCCAAAACGCCGCCCCACATCATCCTACACTACTGCGCCTTCAAGACCACCTGGGACTGGGTCATCCTCATCCTGACTTTCTACACCGCCATCATGGTTCCTTACAACGTCTCCTTCAAGGTCTGAACTATTGAATTACATATAATTTATCCCTGACCAAGATGGCTGCCATTATTTACATTTTAGTCATTTAGCAGACACTCTTATCCAGACCTATTTACAGTTAGTGCATTCATCTTAGTATAGCTATGTGAGACAGCCACATGTCACAGTCGTAGTAAATACATTTTTCCTCAATAAAGAAGTTGTCAGTGCTAGTTGGAAAAAACAGTATATTATCAGCATATTCTAGAGCTATGCAGGCTTGTGACATCTACCACTATTTTATATTATAAAGTGTCTCTACTCTACAAAAATATAGATCCTCTCCTGTCCTCAGGGATACAATATAGATGTAATAACTTTGTAATAATTTATTATAAATGTAATAATCTTGGGGATGTATAATAGATTGTCTCCTCTACTGTAACACATATTCTCTGCTCTACTACTGTACTATCACAAAGGTTCTCTCCTCCTCCTCCAGACCAAGCAGAACAACGTGACGTGGCTGGTGGTGGACAGCATTGTAGACGTCATCTTCCTGGTGGACATCGTGCTCAACTTCCACACTACCTTCGTGGGCCCGGCCGGAGAGGTCATCTCCGACCCCAAGCTCATCAGGATGAACTACCTGAAGACCTGGTTCGTCATCGACCTGCTCTCCTGCCTGCCTTACGACGTCATTAACGCCTTCGAGAATGTGGATGAGGTCAGTATTGTGTGTGTGTGTGTGTGGTGGGTGTTATCATCGACCTGCTCTCCTGCCTGCTCTATGACCTCATCAACATCTTCGAAAATGTGAACGAGGTCAGTCAGGTCTGACAATATATTGGTAATTTAGCTTTTCCAGCTTTTATAGTTGAGTAACATTTTGTTTATGCCATGTAGACAACTAGAATTTATCATGCTCTTCCTCTGGAGGATGCGTGGACAGCGGCACATACTAAACATTCAGTGGGGCTTTAACCAATAACCCTGGTGTTGCCACTGCCAGCACCATGACCTAGTAATCTAAGCCCAGTGAGCCATTTGAACCAGCCATTGAAATATTGAAATGTCAGGGGTTTTCCTTTCCTGTCTGACGATTTTAAAGTTATGTTTGGCTAATGACAGGAACTACGGTCCTAATCCTGATGTCCTTACCCCTCCAGAAACCCAACACAGCCTTTTTTCAATCTCTTCCTGACAACCCAGAGCTCGGCCTATTATATTGGCTTATATTACTGGATGTCTGTTTGTGTGTGTTATTCTGTGTCTATATATTAGTTCAACCTGTTAACCAGTTTATATTACTGGAAGAGGCTCCATTTGAAGGGCCACAAACCTGCCAGTGTTTATTTGTGTTATGGCAGCCGTATTGAGTTATTAGGGCGGGCTGTTGGTTTTAATATGTGACGCAGTCGTGTGTGTGTGTGTGTTTGTTTCGAGATTCTGTTTTCAGTTGTGTGTGTGTGTGTGTGTGTGTGTGTGACTGTATTCACACAGTAAATAAAGACCCCTCTGGTTTTTGCTGTTCTCTGAGTCTCCATGTTTACGACCAGAAGCTGCTCACCAAGAGATAAGGAGGGAATGCAAGGAAAAGGAGGATTCTCTTTCAACAGAAAGAAAATATCCTCCAAAGAGAAGCATATTAGCCCCGTCCCTCCTACCCTCCACACACATTATTAAATGATGGAATTAAACCCATTTATCCATGAGTGTTAAAGCATTTAGTCTCAGGCAAGTCCCTTGCAGAAAAACCACATGATTTCACATGTGGAAAATCTAATGATTTCACATGAAATTTCACATGTGAAATCATGTTAAAATGTGTTTTTTGGAGAACTTTACATGTGATCATGTTTTCACATGTGTAGATTCATGTTCTCATGTCACCCCGGTCCTCCGCACACTCCACTGGCTTCCAGTTGAGGCTCGCATCTACTACAAGACCATGGTGCTTGCCTAAGGAGCTGTGAGGGGAACGGCACCTCCTTACCTTCAGGCTCTGATCAGACCCTACACCCAAACGATGGCACTACGTTCATCCACTTCTGGCCTGCTAGCTCCCCTACCTCTATGGAAGCACAGTTCCCGCTCAGCCCAGTCAAAGCTATTCGCACCCCAATGGTGGAACAAGCTCTCCCACGACGCCAGGACAGCGGAGTCACTGACCACCTTCCGGAGACACTTGAAACCCTACCTCTTTAAGAAATACCTGGAATAGTATAAAGTAATCCTTCTTCCCCCACACCAAAAAAATAAATAACTTGCTATCATAAGTTGAATGCACCAATTTGTAAGTCGCTCTGCATAAGAGCGTCTGCTAAATGATGTAAATGTAAATCACATGTTATCACAGTAACTTCATATAAGATCACCTGATCACATTAAAACATGTGTTTTTGTAACACTTCACGTGTTCACATGTGAAATTCATATGTTTTTTCCTTAAGGGGTATTATCACTCCGACTGCTGCAGCAATAGGAAATATACACTGAGTTTACAAAACATGACCTGCTCTTTCTATGACAGACTGACCAGGTGAATCCAGGTGAAAGCTATGATCCCTTATTGATGTCACTTGTTAAATCCACTTCAATCGGTGTAGATGAAGGGGAGGAGACAGGTTAAATAAGGATTTTTAAGCCTTGAGACAATTGAGACATGGATTGTGTATGTGTGCCATTCAGAGGGTGAAAGGGCAAGACAAAATATTTAAGTGCCTTTGAATGGGGTATGGCAGTAGGTGCCGGGCGCACCGGTTTGTGTCAATCACTGCAACACTGCTGGGTTTTTCACGCTCAACAGTTTCCCGTGTGTGTCAAGAATGTTCCATGACCCAAAGGACATCCAGCCAACTTGACACAACTGTGGGAAGCATTGGAGTCAACATGGGCCAGCATCCCTGTAGAACGCTTTCGACACCTTGTAGAGTCCATGCCCCGACGAATTGAGGCTGTTCTGAGGGCAAAGGGGGTGCAGCTCAATATTAGGAAGGTATTCCTAATGTTTTGTACACTCAGTGTATTATTGCTGTCATTTTAAATATATGAAGTGCTATGCTTTCCAAACGCAAACATATTTTTTTGTTATTTAGGGTCAGTCTCCTTACCAGATAATTCTGTAGTATGTCAGTAGTCCCACAATACCATGGGGATGATGGTATCAATAGATTTGGAAACACCTGTTTCAGATCTGTAAGTCTCAGGTAAACGTGTCTCAGAGGCACACGGTTGGGTTCCATTTCAATTCCGTCAATTAATGAAGTAAACAAAGTGCTTTTTTTTTTTAAGTCCCAGAGTGTCTTGGGTATGAGTTCCAGACATTTATGAGTTCTTAATCTGGGAAACCCAGAACAAAAATCTTGCGAAATTACGTCAGATGCTCGATGTAGTTCTGGGAGAAGACGTGTTAGAGAAAACATACTAGAATGAGGAGTGGAAACAGCGTTAGTGTGGGCAAGTCTATGGGCCAAATGTCTCCCTTTTGGAACATTTGAAAGAGAGAAACACCTGCGAATCATGATTGGTCCAAATGATTAGTGGCAAAAAATCTGCATACCAAAACATAATTCCTCATTAGTCGTCACATCCCACAGTCTGTTGACAGACACTAAGATACCAGTTATGTCTGTCTCTTATCCTCTTAGCCTTTGAAGTGAGCTGGCTGACATGCATTTTTCTCTTCAGGGGAAGGGTTGGAGAACAGATCAGGGTCACTGAGGGTAATTAGTCATATTGCCCCCTCCAGTACTACCTTGTGAAGAAGATCACATAAAATGGCGCTGGGAGAAAAGAGTGCTAGCCTAATGCTTTGATGTGTTTAAATGTGAATTCTACCCCTAGCAGTCAGTACAGCATTTGGTTTGGAGACTGACGTCTCACTGAAGTGCAGTGAAATGCGTTGCTAGTTTCTTAACGTGCAAGGAGAGAGATGCGAAGAGACTAAACAAAACAAAACAAAATATCTTTGTCCTTTCTCTCTTTTTCTCCCATTTCTATTGTTTTACTCTGGTTTGACGCTATAATTATGTGTCAGGGGATTCGGGATTTCTCCTGTCATGTAAATGAGCTCTCTGGTGGAGGGGATAACTGCCGTACCATGGTGTTAGCGCAGCTAGCCAGCCGCACAGCTACAGACATAGAACTAGAATTAGCATAGCCTTCAAAGTGTAGCTGTAGTGTTAGCAGCGCCGCTAGCCAGACGTGCAGCTACAGGGCTGGATCAAATTAGATATTAGCATAGCGCAGCCGTATAGCCAGTTACAGCATGGGATCAAATGAGATATCAGTGTAGCCTTAGCATTAGCAGCACAGCTAGCCAGGCATTACAGGACTAGCTCAAATGAGCTCACTGTGTAGACATTAGCCAGTGAAACCATTAGCGTTAGCCAGGAAGAAGATGTATGAACATAGGCCAACCAAAGTGTGATTGGCTATGCAGAGGAATATGTACGTAGGCCTACACATATACAAAGAGTACATCTCAGATGTGTGTGTGTGAGAGAGAGAGAGGTCTAACATTAATAGTAATTGGTCAAATGGAGCGCTCACCGAACAGGAAGCTGAACAGTCACCCCGGAGTCATTTAAGATGCTATAGATCCCTCTACAATCAATACACTGCATTTCTCTTCTCCCAATTTTAAGCCAAATTGGCACCTCTAAGGTTTCTCACAGAGAATCAATCCCACAGCCAATTATTGTTAAAAACCGTGCCAAGTCTATCTAATGGATAGTAACATCCAATGACACATGAGATTGGGGTTTCTTTGGAAGTCTTAAATATTGTTCAGGTCCATTCTGGTCTCTAGCTATTTCTCTTGACAGATCTGAGTCTGTATTCAGAGTCTCCGATATAGGAACAGTTTAGCCTTTTTAGATCAGAATGAATAAGATTAAATTGACAGTTGGGACTATATCTGCAATAGATCAACATTCCTATTCTGAGACGCTTAGTGAACACAGGCTCTGAAGTTATTGGAGAGGGTCACTAGTTTTTTGTGTGTTTTTTTTCAAGCTTTCAGGGAGGGTTTAGGTAAAATATATTTTGCTATAGGGATGGCCATCCATTGTCATTTGAGAGGTCAGATTTTTCTCCATGCAACCCTTATTATAAATAACGTTCACTCCCTTAGTGAATACGGCTCCTGACACTATTGTATGTGTGAAAGCACAGGGTGTAATAGAGGGTCAATGCACGTAAATGCTATTGAAGCACCTTTTTTAGTTTGGTGAATTATAACGTTTAATGCATCTCTGGGTCACATGGAGGGTTCAAGTGTCAACAGATTTAGAGATGGATAACGTTACACTACTAGGCCTATTGATTACTCCGGTTACCTTCATTATTAGCATGCACTGCACAATGTGCACACCGTTCTCATACACGGGTGCGCTTGCATTCACATGCACACTGTAGCTCCTATAGGCCTAGGGCAGGGGTGTCAAACTCATTCCACAGAGTGCCGAGTGTCTGCAGGTTTTTGGTTTTTCATTTTAATTAAGACCTAGACAACAAGGTGAGAGGAGTTCCTTTACTAATTAGTGACTTTCATTCATCAATCAAGTACAAGGGAGGAGCGAAAACCCCCAGACACTCGGCCCTCTGAGGAATGAGTTTGACATGTGGCCTAGGGCTACAAAGGGTTGCTACTGTCAGTTGTCATTTAGGCAAACCAAACTGGACTCAAGTTGGGAGCCAGTACTGTGTGTGCGTGTGTGTGTGTGTGTGTGTGTGTGTGTGTGTGTGTGTGTGTGCCTACATCTGTGCAAAATGCTGTGGTAGCGTCCTGCGTGTCCCTTAGGGAGTTGTTGGTGGATGAAGGACTTGGTGGTGTAAAGTGCTGCAGTGGTCTTTAACAGGCGGATGCTAACAAGGCTGTGAGAGGCATCAAGTCTATTGTATCTGCAGGGACAGCACTTTGTCGGCCTCTAGTCTTTCAGCTTCTCAGCTCGCGCCACGGTTAATGCTGACAGACACCAGGATATTCACTGTCAGCCTAACGAGGCTCTGTCCAGCCAGCTGCTGTGGACAGGGGAAACGAGGCTCTGTCCAGCCAGCTGCTGTGGACAGGGGAAACGATACATATACATTTCTGTATGACTGGGGATTAATGTGGTCTCACGTCATTAAAGGTTCTGATCATCAAGTCATTTTTGTACTTTTGGTTGTACATTTGCTGATGAACGATTTGTGAAGCATCTATATAGGCTTGATAAAGGATTTGTGACGCATCTACTGTATATAGACTTGATAAAGGTTTTGAAGCATCTACAGTGCATTCGGAAAGTATTCAGACCCTTTGCTATGAGACTTGAAATTGAGCTCGGGTGCATCCGGTTTCCATTGATCATCCTTGAGTTGTTTCTACAACTTGATTGGAGTCCACCTGTGGTAAATTCAATTTATTGGACATGATTTGGAAAGGTACACACCTGTCTATATAAGGTCCCACAGTTGACAGTGCATGTCAGAGCAAAAACCAAGCCATGAGGTCGGAGGAATTGTCCGTAGAACTCCGAGAAAGGATTGTGTCGAGGCACAGATCTGGGGAAGGGTACCAAAAAATGTATGCAGCATTGAAGGTCCCCAAGAACACAGTGGCATCCATCATTCTTAAATGGAAGAAGTTTGGAACCACCAAGACTCTTCCTAGAGCTGGCTGCCCGGCCAAACTGAGCAATCGGGGGAGAAGGGCCTTGGTAATGGAGGTGACCAAGAACCCGATGGTCACTGACAGAGCTCCAGAGTTCCTCTGTGGAGATGGTAGAACCTTTTCAGAAGGACAACCATCTCTGCAGCGCTCCACCAATCAGGCCTTTATGGTAGAATGGCCAGACGGAAGCCACTCCTCAGTAAAAGGCACTTGACAGCTAGCTTGGAGTTTGCCAAAAGGCACCTAAAGACTCTCAGACCATGAGAAACAAGATTATCTGGTCTGATGAAACCAAGGTTGAACTCTTTGGCCTGAATGCCAAGTGTCACGTCTGGAGGAAACCTGGCACCATCCCTACGGTGAAGCATGGTGGTGGCAGCATCATGCTGTGGGGATTGTTTTTCAGTGGCAGGGACTGGGAGACTAGTCAGACAAATGGAGCAAAGTACAGAGAGACCCTTGATGAAAACCTGCTCCAGAGTGCTCAGGACCTCCAACTGGGGCAAAGGTTCACCTTCCAACAGGACAACGACCCTAAGCACACAGCCAAGACAACGCAGGAGTGGCTTCGGGACGAGTCTCTGAATGTCCTTGAGTGGCCCAGCCAGAGCCCGGACTTGAACTTGATCTAACATCTATGGAGAGACCTGAAAATAGCTGTGCAGCAACACTCCCCATCCAACCTGACAGAGCTTGAGAGGATCTGCAGAGAAGAATGGGAGAAACTCCCCAAATACAGGTGTGCCAAGCTTGTAGTGTCATACCCAAGAAGACTCGAGGCTGTAATCGCTGCCAAAGGTGCTTCAACAAAGTACTTAGTAAAGGGTCTGCATACTTATGTAAATGTGATATCTCAGTTGTTTATTTATAAATTTGCAAACATTTCTAAAAACCTGTTTTTGCTTTGTCATTATGGGGTATTGTGTGTAGATTGATGAGGGGAAAAAAACAATTTAATCCATTTTAGAATAATGCTGTAACGTAACATAATGTGGAAAAAATCAAGGGTCTGAATGCTTTCCGAATGCACTGTATATCGGCATGATAAAGGATTTGTGAAGCATCTATATCAGCTTGATAAAGGATTTGTGAAGCATCTATATACAGTAGGCTTATTAAAGGATTTGTGAAGCATCTATATACAGTAGGCTTATTAAAGGATTTGTGAAGGCTTAATTTAGCCATTAAAGTTATTATAACATTGTGGAGACCTCTACATGCTTTATACCTACAGGGGATAAGTACAGCGTTACTATGAGGTTTAGTTAGAAGGTTAGCTAACATTCTATTTGTTTTCTGTTAACCACAAACATTCGCTAACGTTAGCTTAGTCTGTGGTGAACGAGAGTATCTGTTTCAGGTCTAAACTGCCACTACAAATAATGAAGTGGCCATGTAGACTTTCTATTACATGTACTAGGAATAGCTACGTTTTTTCAGTTTGCAGCCAAAAAGTGACAGTAATCTGAGGACGGAGTAGAGTTGCAATCGTATAGGCTGGAGCCTAATCGATCGAAGGAGGGATTGAGAATGGATGACAACCCAAATCAGATGCCACACCCTTACATATTTTTGCTTACAATCATATCATGAATAACCTGCATAATTGCACATGTATAACTTAAAATGGTTTAAGTATACAAGTGCTTTCCATCATTCTGTGCCCCAGATCACACATCAGAGGCCTCAACTCGTGACAATCCGACCTTGAACTAGTTCAAGCTGCAGAACTACACTCTGTACCTAAAGTAGCAGATGTTTCACTGTTCTCATTGTTCAACTGAAAGTTGTATCAGTTTCATATCAACCAACGGCTGCAATGATGCATGTATATGGAAATCAGAATGACTATATAATCTTGAGACAGAATAACAGAATAGTAATTGTCTCTCTGCCTTTGAGCTGTTTGTCTTTTATCCCCCAGGGTTATTATACCATGCTACTCTGATCACCAAACTGTAGACTGAATTGCCATGCAATTCATTATGTACTATGCCCTTGCGTCTAAGATGTAACCTGCTCTTGCATATTGAATGTAAATGCATGTATACAGAAGAATTCGGTATTCAATGTCTTACTTCGACCACCTCCATGGCCTCGAGTCTCCCCTCTCCCCAGCCAAGTTATCTTATCAGAAATTACAGGTCTACAAATCCTTAAACTATTTGCGGCTTCACTGTAATATTTTGGAATATATTCATTTCAATTGGTCAACTGAAATTGTTACTAGGTAACGTGTTCGTCGCATTCCACCATGCTCAATAAAACACAGTAGTAATAAATAAAAAAAGTCTAACTGAGAGAAGATTAGGTTTAGTGTCTTAACTTTTTGTCTTTTTTTTATCACATTATCCTTTTTACATTAATATCATTTACCTAATAATTTGTACATGTTTAAAGTCATGGTTTTATTTTTGCAATCTTCTTGTCTTCTTTACTTCTGTTTTGATCATGCTCACTTCTTTTTTTCTTTTATTTTCTTCCTCCCCCTGTTTTGTTCTTTGTTCTGTTTGCATGGTCCCTCCTCCTCCTCTGCCTGTGTTTGTTTGTGGGACGTGAAGAACTGGAACCATCGAGCTGTCACTCAAGTAGGCCTTTCATTATCAAACTCACTGAGTTGGTTTGGCTCAAAATATGATGCAGTTGTGTTAATCCTGGTGTATGTTTGTACCTGAAGTAATGGCTCTTAAAGTACAGGACCACCCTTCCGTTTCCATAGAACTGAAACATTCTTTCAACCTCTTGCTTCGCTCTCGCTCTCTCGCTCTCTCGCTCTCTCGCTCTCGCAGGGGATTAGCAGTCTGTTCAGTTCCCTGAAGGTGGTCCGGCTGCTGCGTTTGGGCAGGGTAGCCCGTAAACTGGACCACTACATTGAGTATGGAGCTGCCGTCCTCGTCCTGTTGGTGTGTGTCTTCGGCCTGGCTGCCCACTGGCTGGCCTGCATCTGGTACTGTTCTGTTATGACTGATTTGACTGTATATTAAAGGTAGACTCAGTGAAATTAGATGGCGAGATGCAAGACTTTGCTCTCACACAAAGTATCTGCGCATGTGCACGGGTTCGCTTCACGCTGTTACAACATGGTAGGTACGGTACCAAAACAGAGGAGAAGTTGAGCCTCGCACTTCAACCCTCTTAGTTGTTGCGGAAATTGACCCACTATGCTGTTGACGTTGTGCATCTACGTCATATCGCTGAGTCTACCTTTAATGTGTAATGACAGTACTTCCCAACCCTCTCATCCGGGACCACCAGACGTTGCACATATTTGCTGTAGCCCTAAACTGGCACACCTGATTCAACTAGTCAAGCCTTGATCATTAGACAACAAAGATGTAAACTGTCTGGTGATCCCCGATGGAGAGGGTTGGCAAAACCTGTTATAGGAGTTATTCATGTGATAAGAAGTCATTATATATGATAAACTTTTATCATATATTAATATACATTTTACATTTACATTTACGGACATTTAATATATGCAATAAACTATGACAGTAGCCAAAACAATCTAGCTACTGTATTTGTTAATTGCATATTTCTTCAGTGTTTCTTAATCCGTCCCCCTCTGATCCCCAGCCGTGGCATGCTTTTGGTCTACCACACCTAATTTAATTAATCAAGAAGATTAGTTGTGGATTAGTGTTCAAGTTGAATCAGATGTGCTACTGGTGGATTAGAAAAAAATGCGAAGTGAAACGACTTGGGAGTCACTGAGTAACGGGTTAAAAACCATCATGCTCTGTAGTGTTGACAATGTCATGAGGGAGAAGTCTGTTTCTCACCAGCATTGACATGTGTTATTTTCTAACATTAGTCTTCCTCCTCTAAGCAAAGTGAACCAACCTCTGACGTGTTGTAGAGGTACCCTTAACCCTAACCCTAAACATTTACGTCATTTAGCAGACGCTCTTATCCAGAACGCCTTACAGTTAGTGAGTGCATACATAATTTTTCATACTGGCCCCCTGTGGGAATTGAACCCACAACCCTGGCGTTGCAAACGCCATGCTCTACCAACTGAGCAAAATCCCTGCCGGCCATTCCCTCCCCTACCCTGGACGACGCAGGGCCAATTATGCATATACGCGGCCGGCTACGACAGAGCCTGGATTCGAACCAGGATCTCTAGTGGCACAGCTAGCACTGCGATGCAGTGCATTAGACCACTGCGGGAGGCCAAACATATCCCTTCCCTTACCCCTTAACCCCTACCCCTAAAGCTAATCCCTACCCCTAAACTTAAACCTATCCCTTCCCATCCCCCTTAAACCTAACCCTTAACCATAACCCCTGCCCCTAAACCTAAACCTAACCCCTACCCCTAAACATAAACCTATCCCTTCCCCTACCCCTAAACCTAACCTCTACCCCTTAACCAAAATCCCTACCCCTAACATGGTTATTTCTCTTCTCAACCTAATGGGTATCACCTGGTTGGATATTGTCTAACTAGGCTTTAACAATAAAGGATGCGTTTTTGAAGCAAACTTCCAATGTCCTACCAAGAGTGGCTGAATATATTTTTTATCTTGACTGACTATAACAGGTACAGTATTGGTGACTATGAGGTGATAGACGAGGAAACGGGCATCCTGCGGACAGACAGCTGGCTGTACATGCTGGGGGAGACGGTGGGCTCTCCATACCGCTTCAACGCCAGCGGGACAGGGAAGTGGGAGGGCGGCCCCAACAAAGACTCTGTCTACATCACATCTCTATACTTCACCATGACATCTCTGACCAGTATAGGGTTTGGCAACATCGCCCCCACCACCGACGGAGAGAAGATCTTCGCTGTCGCCATGATGATGATTGGATGTGAGTACATGGGACAGTTTTTTTTGTCATGATCTAAGGCAGTGTTTCCCAATCCTCTCCTGGAGTACCCCCATCCAGTCCATATCTGATGTATTCCAGAAGTAGCGCAGCTGATTTAACTGAGGGGCTTGATGATTAGGTGATCATTTGAATCCGCTGGGGGAACACTCAGAGGTTTGGGAAACGTTCATCTAAGGGTTAAGGGTGCCCTCTGGCATTATGTTGGCTTTCTCCCCTTGTGGTAGCATTATGAATGAATGAGCCCCCCTTAAGTCTCATGATGGAATGTTGTTAGAATTTAATTATTTGGTTCTAGATAAACGGAGCAGCTCTGATCTGGTAATCTTGTCATGTTCACCCCATCACCCATTTGGACTCCACTGAACCTTAAAGGCCCAGGCAGTCACATTTCTATTTTTCCTTTGTTTTGTATCATATTGTACCACAGCTGATGAAGCTAACAGTGTAAAAGTAAAAATTGATCATTGTTATTTCCTGATAGTTGCTAGTTGAAAATGCAATCTACATAGGAACTTCTTATCAGCAGGTTTTTCATCTGTGGAGTTTTGGCTTGCCTGGTGACATCACCAGGCGGTATAAATGTAATAGACCAATAACAAAGAGCATTCCAAACCTCTCTGTCAAAATCAGCTAGATTTGACATTTACATCTCATTAGGCTCCTGCATCGCTTTGGTGCTCTTCCCTCCCCTCTCAGACCACTCCCAGTGAGTCCTAGCTAAATTCTTGCTTGAGAAATAGTATTTTTGCAAAAAGCAATTTTTGTTTCTTTAAAAAAAAAATTGTAATGGAAAACTATTACAGTAAGGTACTTAATTGTTACCCAGTAATGATTTGATATTGAGATAAACATGTCTATTGGGCCTTTTTAAGGGCTCTGTTTTGAATTGATTTGACCAACCCATTAGCTTATATCCCCTTAAACTGTCTGAATCGATGGCCCTGCACTCCATCCAGACAGGAAACAGGGAGCACAGCAAACACTCTACTGTCCCCAAAACCATGTTCTGACACTATTTCACATCATATTATTTTTGCATCACAAAGGCATGAGCGTTTCTATGCAAATAATAAGTGTTCGCCACTCCATGAGCTTTTTCAAACGTTCATTCAGGGGTGATGAATCATCTAACCTGGTGATATTCAATTAGTCTTTCATCTCTCTTCCTTACTGTAGCGCTCAAGCTCTCTCCAACAATATGGCTGCTGTTACTGTAACTCACATGATCACCAATATCATATCTGTCAGTGGTTATGGCAAAATGTAGGGAACGATCGTCACCTAGCCATCCTTTTCATTCCATCCATCGATTTCATTTCGTAAGGATACGTCTAAAGACAGCCAGAGACTGACACACGCATGCAATATAGGACACAGACCGTAGTTATATGTTACTATATTTGGCTGATTGGCTCTCGGTTGTGTAGGAGTAGCTGCAGCAGGAGAACCTGCTAGGCAGGATCAATTGAGCCGAGCACTCCCCTGCATTCCCCCTGCAATCACTCACTACCTCAGCACCATCTGCCTCAGCTGCTCTCAGACCCTGGGTGCGTCCCAAATGACACCCTATTCCATACCTAGTGCACTACTTTTGACCAGAGCCCAATGGACCATGGTCAAAAGTAGTACACTACATAGGGAACAGGGTGCCGTTTGGGACACAGTTTCACTCACTACTTTACAGCACATACAGAACAGCGGGTTCAGATGCACTCCCTGCATCTCAGCCTCCGTTTCCATGGTGAGAGACAAAGAGAGAGACTGTGAGAGGTACAGCGGTTGTACGGGTACATTTCAATACTCTGAATTGTTTCTCTCCTTGTTTCCATTTCGTAGCCTGCTGAGCTCCAATGTTGTTTTGTGCACCATTGTGGCATAAATGAAGTCCTAGTAGTGATTCTGTAGACTTTAATGATGGAGACACACTCCAAGAGTTAGGGTTTGTATATTGTGTAGGTCATGCTATAGGTTTTGTTCTGAATAGAAAGAAGCTTGGAAAAGCATCAGAAGATTCAAGTGGAATGACTCTACTGTATGATTCCATCCAGTTTAAACCCTGACTGACTATTCCATTATTCTCTATAAAAATGGCCGCCTCGGCACGACTCTATTTTTACCAACTGTGGTGGATCATTGTTGGCAGCAGCCGAAGATCACATCGTTGACAGGGGGATTATACAGCTGTCTTGTCACTGTAGCAGCGGTTGGCCCTGAGCATTATGGGTTTTTTGACAACTGTCTGTAAACTGTCTTCAAAGGAAGACAGCTGTTTGCTGATTCCATTTAAAGCAGAATCACTGACAGAGCAGTGGTGATAGAACAAGACCTGATGGAGAGATTCAGGTGAAACAGTGAAAAAGGTATTAACACACGTACTGTACTTCAAAAGATTTTAGGATTGGTAATTCTTTAGTGTAGGTGTCCTGTCTTTGCTATAACGTGTTATGTAGCTGTTATAAACTCCCGAGTGGTGCAGTGGTCTAAGGCACTGCATCTCAGTGCTTGAGGCATCACTACAGACCCCCTGGTTCGATTCCAGGCTGTATAACAACCGGCCGGGATTGGGAGTCCTATAGGGCGGTGCACAATTGGCCCAGCGCCGTCCGGGTTTGGCCGGGGTAGGCCATCATTGTAAATAAGAATTTGTTCTTAACTGACTTGCCTAGTTAAATAAAGGTTTTAAAAAAAGGCTTTATCAATGCATTCATAAGGACACCTACAGTAAAGTGTTACCAATCCTAGGCATCCTAAAATCTTTTGAAGTATAGTGTGTGTTAATACCTTTATCCCTGTTTCCCCTGAATCTCTCCATCAGGTCTTGTTCTATCACCACTGCTCTGTCAGTGATTCTGTTCATTGGTTTATTCAGATCCCCATTAGCTTTTGCCAAAGCCACAGCCATTCTTCCTGGGGATGCATGTTTAGTGTATAGGACAGGTACAGTAATCAATCAATCAATCAATCAATTTTATTTTATATAGCCCTTCTTACATCAGCTAATATCTCGAAGTGCTGTACAGAAACCCAGCCTAAAACCCCAAACAGCTAGTAATGCAGGTGTAGAAGCACGGTGGCTAGGAAAAACTCCCTAGAAAGGCGAAAACCTAGGAAGAAACCTAGAGAGGAACCAGGCTATGAGGGGTGGCCAGTCCTCTTCTGGCTGTGCCGGGTGAAGATTATAACAGAACCATGCCAAGATGTTCAAAAATGTTCATAAGTGACAAGCATGGTCAAATAATAATCAGGAATAAATCTCAGTTGGCTTTTCATAGCCGATCATTAAGAGTTGAAAACAGCAGGTCTGGGACAGGTAGGGGTTTCGTAACCGCAGGCAGAACAGTTGAAACTGGAATAGCAGCAAGGCCAGGCGGACTGGGGACAGCAAGGTGTCATCATGCCCGGTAGTCCTGACGTATGGTCCTAGGGCTCAGGTTCTCAGAGAGAAAGAGAGAACGAGAGAATTAGAGAGAGCATACTTAAATTCACACAGGACACTGGATAAGACAGGAGAAGTACTCCAGGTATAACCAACTAACCCCAGCCCCCCGACACATAAACTACTGCAGCATAAATACTGGAGGCTGAGACAGGAGCGGTCCGGAGACACTGTGGCCCCATCCGAAGAAACCCCCGGACAGGGCCAAACAGGAAGGATATAACCCCACCCACTCTGCCAAAGCACAGCCCCCGCACCACTAGAGGGATAATATTAGTTAGGCTGTGTTTAATGTATACTGTATATTAACTTTTTGTGGCTGGTTGCAGTTTCTGAATATGAACATTAGCATATTATTGTCACATCATATGGAATCTTGATTTGCTGATGCATACATATCCCCAGAGGGACAATGATGTGGCGGTTGACGAGCAAGCAGCGTTGCATTTGATGACACACACACACACACACACACACACACACCCCTAGTAACATGGCTCCAGGTGTTACGTCCCATCCTGTCCAGAGAGAACGAGAGCGGGAGAGAGAGAGAAACTATTTGAGGTTTGTAATTTCCACTTTGAAATTTCAGACTTGATTTTCCCTTACGAAAAATGTATCCTGCTGTAGCAAACTGGGTCAAATTCAGATCCTGTATCTGTCCATTGAGAAGTTAGTGAGAGCGAGAGCTCTAGTCTACAGTAGAGGATGGAGAGATAGCTCTAGTCTACAGTAGAGCAGGTAGCTTAGTGGTTAAGAGGGTTGTGCCAGTAACCGAAAGGTCGCTGGTTCTAATCCCTGAGCCGACTAGGTGAAAAATCTGTCGATGTGCCCTTGAGCAAGGCACTTAACCCTAATTGCTCCTGTAAGTCGCTCTGGATAAGAGCGTCTGCTAAATGACAAAAATGTAAATGGGGGAGAGCTCTAGTCTACAGTAGAGGATGGAGAGATAGCTCTAGTCTACAGTAGAGAGAGAACGAGAGAGAGAGAGAGAGGGAGAGACCTGTGTAGTATCTAATCTTCAAAGGCAGCAGTGACAACGTGATGATATAATATTCTGTCACATATGCTTCACATTGCAGACAGCATGCAGGACATTTTTTACCTTTATTTATGCAGGGAAGTCCCATTGAGCCCTGCTTCAAATCCTCTGTCAGAATACTATTTTATAGCAAATGGACAGATAAAGGATTTTTCAAGTTTAGAATGGCTCAACATTTTGTTTGACAATAAGGTTTAAGGCATCTATATGAGCCCATTTCATATTTGCGCAGTGAATGATTGGGATGGTAATGGACACAATTTTACAATAACAGTTTTGCTTTGGAAAGCTACATTGGGTAAGACTATGAACAACTTCTTCATACTGCGTTCTAGGCACATTTATGACAATATTCATAGAACGTGTTAGGTTCCTTTGCATGGCTTTTCATACACGAATGTCGGTCCTCTGTAGCTCAATTGGTAGAGCATGGCGCTTGTAACGCCAGGGTAGTGGGTTCGATCCCCGGGACCACCCATACGTAAAAATTTATGTGCACA